TTTCTCCCCCCCCCCCCCCCCCATATTTTTGGTGGGAAAAGCCAGTTTAAAATAGAAGTTGTGGAAAAAAAAGTTTAAAATAAAAAAAAAATTGCATGTTTTTGGTGGACAAATCCAGTTTAAAATGGGAGTTGTGGGAAAAAACAGTTTAAAATAATTTTTTTGGGCATGTTTTTGGTGGAAAAATCCAGTCTGAAAAAGAAGTTGTGGAAAAATCAATTTGAAATAGATTTTTTTTTCCAGTATTTTTTGTGGGAAAAGCCAGTTTAAAATAAAAGCTATGGAAAAATCAATTTAAAATAAAATTTTTTTCTTGGCCTTATTTTTGGTAGAAAATCCACTTTAAAATGGAAGTTGTGGAAAAACCATTTTAAAATAAAAAAAAAATTTTGCATGTTTTTGGTGGACAAATCCAGTTTAAAATGGGAGTTGTGGGAAAAAACAGTTTAAAATAATTTTTTTGGGCATGTTTTTGGTGGAAAAATCCAGTCTGAAAAAGAAGTTGTGGAAAAATCAGTTTGAAATAGATTTTTTTCCAGTATTTTTTGTGGGAAAAGCCAGTTTAAAATAAAAGCTATGGAAAAATCAATTTAAAATAAAATTTTTTTCTTGGCCTTATTTTTGGTAGAAAATCCACTTTAAAATGGAAGTTGTGGAAAAACCATTTTAAAATAAAAGAATTTCGGCATTTTGTTTTGGTGAACGAATCCAGTTTAAAATGGGACATGTGGAAACATCAGTTTAAAATAGCATTTTTTCATATTTTTGGTGGAAAAAAATCCAGTTTGAAAAAGAAGTTGTGGAAAAATCAGTTTTGTGCCTTCAGCACGCAGAGTGCCACGTCGTGCACTGTGGGAGCGATCTAGTTGAGCACATGGGGGCAAATTTATCCTACAAACCTTCTTTTTCAGACTGAAAGAAACCCAAGAAAAGTCTTACAAAGTAATTTTTTTTTTTTTTTCAGGAACAACTTAATTTAAGGAATGAGCATTTTGCCACAAACGTGACAAAGAGACGTCAGAATTTTTTGGAAGTGGCCATAACTCACCTGCCTGTTTCCCATCTCCTTTTTATCCCTAGGGAGATCCCAGCATGGCCAGCTCAGCACCCACAGCTGTGCTACACAAGTGCAAAGCAGGGTGAGATAATCCACATTTAAAGCCCCTTTCAGGTGTGTTGGCCATGTCAGCACTGAGAAAACTCCAGGAAACCCCAACTGCAGTAATTATTGTGATTTAATTGCTTCACTGATACAACTTTAACTCCAACATCGGTGGTGTAACTTCTGATTTAACATCTCAGTCTGCACAGAAAACTTATTCCAGGCTGATTATCTCCATCCTTCACAGAACAGGCACTTCCTATTAAATGGTGTGGGAAAAGTGCCCCCAAGATTTGCATGACCTACTTGGATCATCCTGAGACAGAGAGAAAAAAATAAATTCTGAAGTTCAATGTAACTTTGGGCTTGTACTAAACAGCTTTAAGCATTTTTGTTTTCTTCAATTATCTGTGTGCTGCTGTCTCTCTGCTGACATTTCCTGTAGGATTGTAGGAGCACTTGGCCTATCCTTGTATTTTCAGCTATTAAAAATATTCCAACATTCAGCAGTAAATGCAGGTGAACTTTGGGGTATTTACATCACGAATTTCCACCAAAGAGAAAATTGTTCCTTTCATGGCACAGGATTCTGCTGCAGCCATGGGTTCCATTAAATATTTCCCTCATTTTTCTTACACATTTCTCTCTTTTAGTGCCAGTTACACCTCGAGGACAAATGCTGACACTTTTTTTGCATAAAGAAGATTTCACACTTGGTTTACTTTAGCTTAGTTGTGAATGTATCAGACTTTAAATTAAAAAATTCCTTTTGCTTGTTTCTCCTGAAATCTTGTGGCAATAACCTAAAAGGAACACAGCAACTTTCAAGGCCTATATTTTAAAGTAATTAAATATTTTAAAACTAAATTATGTGGAGTTTTCAAGACCTCTATTTTATTTTAAAGTAATTAAATATTTTAAAACGAAATTATGTGGAGCCTAAACAAACAAACCAAAAAAGAGAGAGAGAAAAAAAATCAAGGAGCAAGGTGTTTTCTTTCCAGGATCCTTTTATGGTCTGAGGCTTTTGAGGGGGGAGGCCCTAAAAGGTTCCTCTGAGGGGACACCAAAAGAAGCAGGAGTCCTGAATTCCCTGAATACCCCCAGAAAAGCACTGGATGATTCCAGAGCGGACAGCACACTGGGAAGTAACAAATCCATCCCAAAGTTCCACCTGGGAGACTTTGGTACCTGCAGGTGTCCTGGTACCTACCTAAAAACCATTCCTGTGAGCTCTAAAATTCCATTCCTTTTGCTCCCTTGTATGACAGTTACAAAAGCAAAACAGAGAAAAAACCCAGCTTTTGTAATTTAAAAAAAAAAAATACAGAGAGTTTGCAAAACAGAGCCTTACAAAAAGACTGTAAAAATAAGTTTTTTCTACTTGAAATGGCAACAGGTGAGGACAGTGAAAGATGAATGAAGGAGAGAGGAGTTAACCCACTGAAAACTTTATCTTATTTCCCTCTGCTGGCACTATTTAGTGCCAACATTTACAAAGCCTCTTGAGAGGAAGTTTTTCTTTAAAAACTCTCCGCGGGAGCCTCTTTGTTATGGAGATACCTTTTATGAGGAGGAGAGTCCTCAGCTCTCCATCCTCCCCTGGAGCTAGCAAGAAACAGCCAGGGCAGCTCTTCAAATGAGAACAGGGACAAAAGGATCCCTGCCCCTTCTCAAGCCTTTCTTACACATCCAAAAATCCACTGTGCTTTTCCTCAGGTGAAATAATGTGGAAGGAGAAACCTGGCAATCCAGAGATGCTGGCTGGAGGGAAGGGAAAGGAGAGGAAGCTGCTCACACTCAGCTTGAAACACCCTCATTCCAAATGCGGTGAATAATATATTTTATTAAACTATCTTTATAGTTATAGCTTACATTTAGAGTTGTAATTTATAATTTATTTCTATTTTCGTTACAGTTATCATTTATATTTTTGTTTAAATTGATATTTATGTTTATTTATGTCTGCCACTCCCATCCAGAACAGCCCTGTGACTCTCCCCACCCACAAACACACTCACACCAACCTCTCCTGTGTTTTTAACAGCAGGGCTCTGGTGCACAACTTCCTGCAGGAAACAGTGGTAGCAGAGCACAGGAAACCCCAGCACTACAAGAACTTAACTCCCTGCAAGGCCTGGCACACAGAGCACCACAGAGTTCCCCGTGCCATAACAAGAGCATCTCCAGCTTGCAGATTCCCCTCACCAACCTCTTTGTGGATTTGGGCAGAGCAGGGTTTATTCACCCTAAACTCGGCTTAAATCCTGCCCCCCAGAAAAACCCATCTGGGATCTTCCATTGGGAAGAAGATCCCAAAGTCTTACAGGTTGGGATGAAGCAGGAATAGCTGCCACTGTCACCCTGTCACAGCCACAGGATCATGGCACACTTCGAAGCAAATCCAGCCTTTTGAAGTCCAAACTTTTCTTTAGAGATGCCCTTTGGTCTTTATTAACCACCAGGGAGATGGAATTACCTGCAAAATTCAACTGAGAGGCAAAAGGAAAAAGGAGGGGGAAAAAAGAAAAGTGTTTCATTACTCAGTTTGGGATTTTTGGGAGGGTTTTTTCATCTGCTGTCGAAGAAGTGAATGGCAACTTTTCAGATGCACTGGAAAGCAGAGTCTTTGTCCTTTGCACTTCACTGCTCACCATCTGGTGTGCTCAGTGGCATCACACTGAAATCAGAATTTTTTGTTAAAGAGAGAACAACGTTATTATTTAATTAATATTCCAGTAAATTTTGGATACTGGAACTTGGAGTTTTGAAACCACTGTAGCTCCAGTTTGCCAGAGATGTAAAAATGGCCTTGCTCCCTTCTAACCATCCTTAACCACCTTAAGCAGCTCCTACTTCAGTGCTCAGAAACATCTGTCCCTAAAAGCCTTCTGTGGTAAACGTATAATAAAAAAAAAAAAAATCTGATATTTTTGGGTTTTAATTAATTTCTTAGCTGGAAATGCTGAACACAGGGGTTGCAGAAGATCTCTGGCTTTAGCAGGCTGATGTCTGGAGGAAAGAGCTGCGAGCTGCTGTGACCAGAGACTTCCTGCTGGGTGGTGGGGAAGCGAGAGCACAGAGAAGGCTGAGGAGGAGACGTGGGTGCAGAGCTCAGAACGGAGCGGTGCTGCAAACCTCAGCCCTGCGTCAGCAGAGCAGGCCAGCTGCAGCTGGAGAGCAGGGAAGCAGGAAATCCAGCAGCCTGGGTGCCCCTCCTGAGGACACGGCTTGATGGTTGGACTTGGTGATCTTTTCCAGCTCGGCTCTTCATCCTGTGATTCATTTTCTTGACGTGTTGTGAGACACTGATGAGTTTCGTGGCTTAGACGTTGCTGAGATCATCAATCAATCAAGCAATCAATCAATCATTTTGGCCACTGTAGCAAACTGCAAAGGAGCTGCTGTCCATCTGTGAACACCAGAGCCACCCCTCCCCAAACACCCCTACTAACTGGAATGTTGGATTTTGAATCTGGGGTCAGACAAAGGTGGTGCTTTTGTCCAGTTTGCCAGGTCTGGGAAGAAGGATGGATCCACAAGGATATTTACTGGGAGAGAGACTGTGATGCTGCCAGCTCACACATTGAGGGAGCAAGTTACCATGTGCAAAGGAGCACAGCCCAGCTCAGGCTGCAAACTGATAAGGGACCCTTTATCAGCTTTGAACAGGGCCCTGCCTCTTTGTCCCTGCTCAAGGGACTCATGGGGTGACTCCCCTGCCCTGGAGCATGGGGACATTCCCAGTAGCCCCACGGTGTTCACCTCAGCCATAATGGATCACAGTGGGCTCAGCTGTGCTGGTATCGAAGGCAGCTGCATACCTTTGAAGGTGTCAGAGTCCCAAAATGTCCCATGACCCACAGCATTCCATCATCCAGCACTCCCCATTCCAGGAGAAGCACCTGGGACTTCCCACTGAGCCCGAGTGAACATAAACCCAGATTTTGTGTTCTGTGCATTTCTCCCACACTTCTTTGAGATTTCCCCTCATCCCCTGGTGGATCACTCTGTGACCACCAGCTGGACCAACAGAAACTGAGATTGCAACAACCAAGTCTCATCATGAGACCTGTGGGTGGTGAGATCTTTCTCCTTTTATCCTTTCCCTCTCTTTTTCCTTATGTCACATTTTCTTAAGTGTTACTTTTATGCTTTCATATTGTCATATTACTATAGATAGTAACAGCTAAAATGGCTACATGGCTGTTTTCCTCTGCAACCAAACTGCTCTAAATTAAACCCTTCATTTATTACCTACATACATAATTATTAAACCACACAGAAATATTTTTTTTTCCCGCCCCCAAACACCAATTTTACCCTTGGCTTTCTAGGGTGGGTTATACCACACATAGGTGAAACAAACCCAGTGGAGTTTGCAGCAAGCTACAAATGACAGCAGCTGGCTGAGCAGCAGTGCCACCAATTACGATTTTCCCTGGTCAAAACCTCCTCAGAGAGGGAATGTTTCAGGCTGGAGAAACAGCACCAGGATTTCCAGGCCTTTATTGGCTTGGGTTGATGATAATTGACTGTTACCTGGGAGTCAGAGGGGTGGAAAGGTCTGGGAGAGATGCACAGCTCCTCTCGGTGTGGTGCTTCGTGGTTTCCCCAGGGCTGTGTTGAACACCCGTGGAGGAAATGCAGCAAAAGGGCTCGGGATGTGACACAGAGCTTGTGGTGTCCAGCCAGGATGTTTGGGCAGAGGATGGTCACAGTGAGTGACAGCCTGGGGGTGGGGGGCCATCACCACCTCTGCTGGGTGTAACAGGATCCCTGACAAGGCCTAAGTCACATTCCCAGGATCCTTGGGGATGGAAAAGACCTCCAAGATCATTGAGTCCAAGCTGTGACCAATCCTCACCTTGTCCCCAGCCCAGAGCCCTGAGTGCCACCTCCAGGAGTTCCTCAGACACCTCCAGGGGATGGGCACTCCAAACTTCCCTGGGCAGCCCCTGCCAAGGCCTGTTCCCCCTCACACCACTGGCTCTGTCAGTCCTTCCTGAGCTCAAGCAGGTCTCAGGCACTGGTCCCATCCCTAAGGAGTGGCACAGGGTGGGTGAATCCAGCCCCAGCACAGCCCTGCCCCTGCAGGCACAGTGCTGCCCTCCACACGGACCCACAGGGTGAAGGACCACGGCTGAAGTGACAATGGCACCGTGTCCCCTGCCGCTTGTCACCGTGTGTGAGCTGCAGTCAAAGTGTCTTTGTGTGGACACGGCAGCGACCAGGGGACACTGCCATTTGGGCCGGGCACTGCCGAGGCCAGGGCGGGTTTTATCACAGCACAGTCTGCACCAGGCACTTTGGTTCTCACTTCTTTTTCTTCCCCTTCTTTTTGAGAGAGCCGGGCCAGGGATGGCCCCGGAATTCCAGGAAGACGGCGGCGTTGTGAGAGATGTAGTAAGCGTTGAGCATGGCAGCTGGGCTGAAGAGATCCACGTGGTACACAGGCTTCTGCGCGCCCTTTTTGGAACTTTTTTTTTTGCCACCCTTGGGTTTTTTGGCTTTGCGTGCCTGCAGAGAGAAAATGACCAAAAACCCACTCAGTTCTGGGTCTTTGTTGTCTCACTTTTGGGTAGAGGACTCCAGGCTGACAGACTGAGAGAGCTGGGGGTGCTCAGCTGGAGAGGAGAATGATCCAGGGAGAGCTTCCAGCACATTCCAGGGCCTGAAGAGGCTCCAGGAGAGCTGCAGAGGGACTGGGGACAAGGGATGGACAGGGCACAGGGAATGGCTCCCAGTGCCAGAGGGCAGCCATGGATGGGATCTTGGCCATGAGGAATTCCTGGCTGGGCTGGAATTGCCAGAGCAGCTGGGGCTGCCCTTGCATCCCTGGAATGCCCAAGGCCAGGCTGGACACTGGGGAGGAGGAGGTTGGAAGGAGATGAGCTTTAAGGTCCTTCCATCCCAAACCATTCCATGATTCCAAGATATCCCAGAGCAGCTGCCTGGCAGAGCCCCTCACCCAGACCCCAGCAGTTTGTGGTGGATTTAGGTCAGGACTCACAAGCATTGACACACCTTTCCACAGCCCCTCTTTGCTCTGCAGGCTCTGAGAGCCTCTAAAGCCATCAAAGACTGAGCTGGTCCCTGTCCCCCTGTGCTTCCATCTGGCTGACAAAAGGTTTGTGCCCAACAGAAGTCAAACATTCTCTCCCACTGATTGCTTTTTTAAATTACTACATGAGGATGCAATCCTGAAGGAACTTGCCCTGTCTTGATCCATTCCTGCTGGGATCTTAACCCTGCAAAGCAGGATCCCCCCTCCAGCTTCCACGGGTCTGGGATGGAGCTGCTCTCCCACCACTGCTGGTTTCAAATCCAAACCCACGTAGGTAATGTGTTTTCCATGTTATAATTTCTAAAAAATCCCCTCACAGCTCAGCACTACTCAGTGCAAAAGAGACAAACATTTGTGCTCTGAGGTAAAGGGCACAATCCTCAGAATCAGCTGGAACCGAGACGTGGAATAATATGAACAGGTAAAGAAAAATTTCTAAAAATAATCAAATTTTCTATCTGAAACACACAGACCCTCTATTACAGAAGCAAAAAAGAGATAAAATAAGAATGTAAACTGCAGCTGCTGGCAGATAATTTGCAGAATGAAACTACTTGAGCTCAGACATATGTTTGAGATGGTACAAGCCTCTTTCACAGACCATAACTGGACAGAATTTGTGGAATATTCACGTGCTGGAATGTGCCCCCTTCACAGGGACATGCTTGTGCCAGATTTTGCACCCAGCCAATCATCTGAGGCCCATTCCTTGTTTGCCCAGGGTCTCTGGTGGATTTTGTGAGCACTTGTAAGCTCCTGGTGGGAATTCAGCCTGTAGCTGATCTTTCCAGATATAAAAGATGCTCACAGGCTTTATATGCTATGTACAAAATTTCACAGCCTGCAGCCAAGAACAAAAAAAAAGCTAAAAATCAGAATTAGGTTTATATTTGCACACAAAGTGAATTTGGGCAGGGGTCAGTTCTGTCCTGCAGCTGTGGGAAGGAACATTTTGGATATTAACCCTTTTCCTTAAAAAGGTGTTATCAGCATTTCTGAAGGATCAAAGGTGTTTTACCATGGCTGAGTCTTTTTATGGAGCAGCCAGGAATTCACATCAAGCCCTGGAGATGGACCCTGAAAAACAAAATTCCATGGTTAGTTACACAGTCTGTGTCAATCCCCACGAAATTTGAAGAGAAAAAGGGAAAAACCAGCCCCTTGCAAAAACAGGGTCATCCCTAAAAGCTGATCCTCACCTGTGAAATCAGCTGCTAATTGTCAAATTCCAGGACTCCGAGCTTTTCAGCAAAGCCCTCGAGGTTTACAACTACAGAATCCCGGACAAGACCTCAGAGACCAAGCCCAGCTCCGCCAGGGCCACCACCGACCCCAAGTGTCCCCAAGTGTCCCCAGGTGCCACATCCACGGGGCTTTGCAACCCCTCCAGGGACGGGGACTCCCTCCAACCCTGCAGCTGTGCGAGGGCAGGACAACTCTTTTAGGGAAGGAATTTTCAGGACATCCAGTCTAAACCCCTGGCACAGCTTGAGGCTGTTTCCTCTTGTTCTGTCCCTGTCCCCTGGGAGCAGAGCCCGACCCCCTCTTGGCTGCACCCTCCTCTCAGGGAGCTGCAGCGAGCGAGCAGCTCCGTCCTGAACCTCCTTTTCTCCCCCGGCTGCCCCAGCCCCAGCTCCCTCCGTGTAGAAAAAGCAGAATCTCACCTTCCTGTCCCCGCATCACGGCAGCTCTGAAGAGACCCCGGCCGCCCTTCCCCACCACGGCCGCCATGGCCTCCTCACCCTCCCCTCAGCGTCCCGTTGTCATAGCGACCTCGGGGGCGGGGGTCTGGTGCTGATTGACAGCGCGGCGTCCAATCCGCTGCTGAGGCACCCGCCCATCGCCCAATCAGCTGCCGGGGAGGTGCTTCCCGCCGCTGCGGTGGTGACGGAGAAAAGGGCGGGAAAAGCTGTGAGGGGGATGAGGGGCCTGAGGGGAGCGGCCGCCGCCATGTCACCCGGCCCTGTCCCACCCACAGCCTAAAACCCCCAGAAATGGCACAAGGAGGCCAAAAAACCCCCAGCACAACAGCATCGACCTGAAAGGAGGAGGGGATCAAGTCGTGCTTTCCAAAGGTCTTAGAAAGATTGGCATTTGGTGGACTTATAGTGGAATATTCACGTTATTCCGTGACACGGGGGAGTCTGTTTAAATACCTGACTCAGCCTCCTTCACCGTAAAAATATTTTAAAAATAAACTCTGCTTTGCCTCCTTGCAGAGCCACAGCTCCAGACAGCAGGAAAATGACATGTAATTGAGTTTGGATATTTCTAATAAATCCCCATAAACTGAGGCCTGAGACGCAAGGAATCGATGGAGGTGAAGGGGGCTGAGGGAGGGATAGGGACATGAAGGGTTCATTTAGTTCTCTGCACCTTTTTTAGACACAACAATTTTATCCAAGGGTAGTAATACTTCTAAAGGTGGGGTGATTTTTAAATTTGGGAAAAAATATGGGAGAGAGGAGTCTGTCCTGCATCTCTCGGCACCAGATTTTCACTTGCAAAGCACTAAAAAAATAGGCACAAGTGAAAAATATCAGTAAGAGCTGAATTCCCTCACAGAAAAAAAAAAAAAAAAAAGCTCATAATTGCAGTATTGCCAAACTCCAAAAAAACACATCAGCGAGTTTGCCTAGATCATGGGTTTATTTTTACCTTTAATATTGACCTCTCTAAATGCGCTCTCTGGTGCATAAGTAAATTTCCTTCCTTCTTGCCTAATAAAAAGAATTGGTAGTGTAGCTCAGGGAAAAAGTCTGCAGATTTGGGAGTAAAATTCTCTTGAATGAGCCTTGGATAGTGAAAGCAAAAATGAAAAAAAAATACTGATTTCCACTCTGTTCAGGGAAATTCTGTGTCGTCTGTATTAACAAACCACACAGCATAAAAGAAACAATCATAATTACACTAATTATCTCATTTTAGCACAGGCAACTGTCAGGAGGCCACGTTATAATTATTGAGGAAAAAGGAAGGCACGGAGCACTGAAATGTTCAATCAAGGAGACAAAAATCATCCTGTGCAGTCAAATGTTGTGTTTTGTGGCAGAGCTTGGGCCTGGCTGCAGAACAAGCTGCTGTTTACACATGCAAGGCTTTGATAAATAATTAAGGGAAACTTCCCAAACTCCAGAGTACAATAGGCCTGACCTCATACAGTCACTTCTGTGGTTACAAGTGGATAAATACAAAGTCAGCCAGGACATCTCAGTGCTGTTATTTTTGGGAAATATTCACAGGAGAAAAAGGAGGGATTTAACAGTACCAAACTCAATGGGTAAAGGCTAAGTCCCCCCATTTTTATTTTTTTAACCACTCTCTCCTTTTCTCAACTCTGAAAGTAACTTTGTATCTTTGTAGCCTTTTATGCTTCACTGAAATTTGCATTAAATTCACCAAAAAGCTCTAAAGTTGCTTAGAGAAGACTGAGAAATTAACAACTCAATTCTGTATGCTTTATATCCCTAGGAAACAGCAAGAATCTACAAAAAAAAAAAAGCACAAGAATCTGTGCTGAGGTGCTGAAGAAAAGGTCTTACCCACAGCAGAACTTTCAGCAACCACCTGTAGGGTGAAAACAAAACAAAAAAGAGTTCTTTATTGCAATTACAACTGGAACTGGGATCACTGGAGAGTTCCTGGAACCAACAGTCCTGCTGGGGTGAGATAACAGATGTTCCTGCAGCTGTGAAGAAACCACCCAAAACTTCTTTCTGAAGCTGCCTTGCTGAAGGTATAAAATGATTATTCTTTAATTGCTGCCCCCCAGCTCTTCTGAGAATTTTTAATCAGGAGAAAATCCTCATTGTGAAGTGAAAAAAAAAAAAATTTGAAACTGCTGCTTGCTTGCCAGGATGGGACATGAATATTTCAAATAAAGGCTCTCCCTAAGTCACTTTTTTATGCAGAGATTTGGGTTTTCTGTAGAGATCTCTCTCTGGGAAAGAGAAAATTTGGTGATGATGGTGTGAATAAATTGTAATCCAGGATAAGTTTGTACCTTCCTCCACCACAGACATTCAGGTAAGGATTTGTGCTTCTAATGTCTCTCAGTAAAAATAACAGGCACTGAAAAGCACAATTTAAATATAAAACACAGAAAAATGCACATTGGTTATGAACTGGTTTTGCTTTTTTTCAATATATTGTGGGGGAAAAAAGACACTTTCGGGGGGAAAAAGAGGTTTGAGCCAAATACCAAGGGCTTTTCTAAATTTTTTAGTAATTCATTCAATTTCCCCTTGAGTGGAGATGGGCAGGGGTGAGGGCTGAGTTTGCGGGATGTTTTTATCCTTATAAAATAATAAAAAAAAGCATTTCAATTAAGACACAGAAAGAAAAAGCTTAAATAAAGATGTGTCCTTTAAAATTTGGTTTATTTCGAACAAAAGCATATTTTAAAAGGCTTTAAAAGGCTTAATGCCATTTCCATGAACAAGGCCTTGGACAAACCCCCATGAAGGAAACATTCCCAGGCTAATTAATTATTTAAGCAATTAGCACAAATCCTGCCATAACAAACACTTGTTTATTGAGGGCTTCCCTGCCCTATATGAGCACACAAATGCCACCCTCATGCAATGCAGCTTTACCCAAGTGTAGTGTTCATTATTTAATTTAAGTATTAAGTTATTAAATTGACAGAAAGTTTACAGTTCCATATCCCATTCATTCTGAAAATTATGGACCACAGAATCCACTCTTTTCCTCATAAATTGTTCACCAAAGCACCTTCCCTCCCCGCCCTAAGACCTGGCACAGACATTCCCCCAAACAAGCAAAAATCCGTGTAAAACTTGGGTTATTTAACGTGGTATTTGCTGTCCCCTCAGGGCTGGAAGGGCTGAAGAGGATGTGGAGTCAGGGAGGAAAGAAAAGGGATCTCCAGGCTGCACAGCTGGAAACTGCACAGCACAGGGGTGGTGTAATAAAGGTGAGCGAAGGTGGGGAAAGCAGAGGTGCAGAGGTGACAGGGTGACCTGTCCCTGGTGGCACCAGGACTCTGAGCCGGGCTGTGTCACCCCAGAAGCACAGGACAGGGACAACACGGAATGCTGTCTCCATCCCAAGCATGCCGGGGTGGCAGGGTGGTGCTGGGGGCAGAACCCAACAGAGCCAAAGAAAAGAGCGTGCGGGAGGGATGGAATTCCCAGCTGGGAATCCTTGCCCCCAGCCCACGCGGGGACACACCTGGGCTCCGAGCTCACTCTGCAACCCGTGCTTTACGGTCTCCAAGGAGTCACAGGATGACCTCCAAAAAGAGGTGTCCGTCTCTTTATACAGACCTGGTCTCTTTGGAAAGTTTAATTTTGTTTTCCCAGCTGTGCTTAAACCCCCCTGACCCACCCCAGCCCGCGGCACCGGCAGCCCTCGGGAGCGGCGGTGCAGTCACTGGCAGTGCAGTCACTGGCAGTGCAGTGCAGTCACTGTCAGTGCAGTCACTGGCAGTGCAGACACTGGCAGTGCAGACACCGGCAGTGCAGACACTGGCAGTGCAGTCACTGGCAGGGCAGTGCAGTCACTGGCAGTGCAGTCACTGGCAGTGCAGTCACTGGCAGTGCAGTCAGTCACTGGCAGTGCAGTCAGTCACTGGCAGCGCAGTCAGTCACTGGCAGTGCAGTCACTGGCAGTGCAGTCACTGGCAGTGCAGTCACTGGCAGTGCAGTCACTGGCAGTGCAGCAGCTCTTCCCAGCGAATGGGCTGTGAAAACACCTCCCGCTCCAGCCACAGCTCGTAGGAGTAGTGGAAGTCCTCGGGCAGCTCCAGGCGCTGGCCCAGCACGCTCTGCAGGCAGTTGTCCACCGGGGCGAACTCCGAGTCCTGCGGCTTGTCGTACCTGCGGCTGTTGAAGGCTTCGATGTTGGCCCTCAGCGTGCATTCCTCAGCCTGGAAATCCCACGGCCTGGCGTCGATGTCTGCAGTGGAGGAGGAACAACACCCAAATAGTGCGGGAAGCACCGCTCTGACAAGGTTTGAGCAAAAGAAAGGCTGGAGGTTTCATGTGAATTAACCAGAGTCACTCCTAATTATTATTATTCCTAACCAAATCCCATTATGTGTGCATTTTCATTTAAGATATCCCATAAAAATGTAATTACTCCTGCATTAAGGACTATTTAAGATATCCCATAAAAATGTAATTCCTGCTTTAAGGACTCTCTATAATTACCCAGCCCTGCTTTTTTCACAAAGACCCCACCACTTTTACTGAAAATCTCTGCTGACCACTGCAGCAGGGATCAAGATTTAAAACATTTAAAACCCAATGAGCTTATTATGAGCTCCTAACCACCATTTTTTAAAAATTTGAGCAAACATAACTATGAATGATATTGAAAAGCTGCAATAACCACGACATTACGTCATATTCTATAAACTGATGATATGACAAGAATCCCAGTATTTTCACGAGCGCTAAACCTGACGGTGCAGAACGGCGCCATGAAACTTCTGGGAGAAATCCCCAGGAGTGACAGCAATTTTAGAGGTTTGAAGCCAGGTGAAGCAGACTGCAGGGCAGAGGCACGAGGCCGGGCAGGACTCACCGTTGCCGTAGGCCCAGTCGTCGTTCATGCGGTGCCGCACCTTCTGGTAGATGGCAGACATGGTCTTCATGTTGCTCTTCCTCCACTGGCGCCCCAGGTACTTGGTCTGGATTTTCAGCAGCTTGAGCACGTAGAGCTGCATCATGGCCTGCTTCACCTTCAGAGCCCGCTTCAGGATGGGGGCTGATTTGAACACCACCAGCATCTGCCAGGGAATCAACACCCATCAAAGCAGAGTGCTCGGGGAGCCACACAAACAAACGCTGCCTGGGCTGAGGTGGGCACCAGCACCTGGGCCTCCTACACCACAAACCCCCAGGAGGGAGAACAGGAGCGTTCAGCACAACCAGCACTCTCTGCACGGGGCTCGAGGGTCACAGAAATTATGTTATTTGCAGGAGAAAAACTATATCTGCATTTAAGGCTCAATCTGTGAAAGGAAAAAGGGAAGATGATGAAGAGCAGAAGCTCCAGCACTTCCACAAGGAACCCTGAGAAGAAGGCTGGGCTGAACCCGCTGTGTGGAGCCAGGGAGATGCTCCAGGTGAAATGCTGGAGGGTCTCAGGGGGAGGGGACACCCCCTTACCATTGTCCTCGAGTGTTTCCACTTGGTCAGCTTGTTGAGGATCCTCAGCAAGTTAATGCAGGAGAACAAATTCCTCCAGCAGAACTGGTTGTTGTCTCCAGCTTCCTGCACAGGGAGAAGTGCAATCCTGACCACAGCGCTCATCAGCACTGCCACAGAGATGTCCTTAGGCAGAAATTTTTATTTTTATTGTCTGCACAAGTCTTATTTCTGAGGAAGGACAAGCAGCAGAGCTTCCTCCTCACTTGGGTTATCATCAGCAGATTCTGGGGAAAACCATTCTGAAACACTCCAATCTTTAATCTGCTTTTAATTTAGAGTAAGAACTAATAATGGGATAAATCCCATTATTCCATCATGGGAAATACATTTTGTGGTAGATTTGTATTCTTTGTTTTCAGCCAGAGAGAAAATTTCAGCCTGGTGATCACCACTGCTTTTGGTAACTGTATCAATTAATTCAGGCTTAGAGCACACATTTCCAGTAAAAGGAAATCACAAATCAACACAAGATGACAAATAGCAACGTTTGTATCAAGAGGATGAGACCTTTCTGTAACAAAAATCCCCTCCAGCTTAAGTGCTGCTGAGACATTGTTTTAAATATTAGGTAACTGTAAACACCCCAGCTCCAGCTTGTGGAAATGCTGCCAGGGGCACTTTTGAGATTTAATTCCACCACTGCAGTAACTTCCTCCGTGTTTGAACAACTCCAAGCACAGGAGAAATGTCCCACAAAAATCCTGTTTGGGGATTAGTGCAAAACAAGGGCTGCTGAATTTATAAACCACTCACAGCCAGCTACAGCCTTCTTAACTCGGGGCAAAAACTCAACCCATTCCAGGATTTGGGCACGCTTGGGAGGGGTTTGAAAGCAGATTTACCCAAGAAAATCCCACCAGCACAACCCCTGGGCTTTTAAAGGCAAGTGCCAGGCAGAATCAGGAATCCCTGAGGCTGGAAAAAACCTCCAAGGCCATCGAGTCCAAGCTGTGCCTGGTTCCCACCTTGTCCCCAGCCCAGAGCCCTGAGTGCCACATCCAGGGACACCTTCAGGGATGGGCACTCCAAACCTCTCTGGGCAACCCCTGCCAATGCCCGAGAGGCAGCCAGCGGTGGGATGTCACCACAATGTCACCAGGATGCCACCGGGGTGCTCGTGGATGCTGTCTGGTGCTTTGGGGGTCCCCAGCTGCATTGCCCCTGCAGTGTCACATCGTGCCCAGGCCTAACCTGCGCCCTCTGCACCAGGTAAATTTCCCAAAGACCCCAGTGGAACAAGCCATATCCATTTCTTAGGCTGATAGATTTGTTTGTCACCAGTCTGATGATGTCTCTGTAGATTCAAGGAGGGGAGGGTCTTTCCATCAGATTTATGGAAGGAGGGAACAGGCCACACAGACTTTAATACCCCTTCTAAGGGGTGGGTTAAGCCCTTTGCAGACCCCTCTGGAGTGACAGGAGAGGGGAGGTGGGGACTGGCCAGGATTTGAATCCCCCAGCACCTCAGCCACTCCTGATTTACCCTGGATGGGGACAGCAGTTACCCCACAGGCCCCCCCTTGGGGACAGCAGTGCTGGACTCATCCTGGTTCTCCTTGGGATAACCAAACACACATCACTGTGCTCAGCCCACTGAGAGCAGAATCATCTGTGACATCCTCTAAGAAATGTGTAACGCTGGAATGTTGAAATCACTCATCAGAGTGGTAAAAAAAAAGATAAAACAACGCATGAAGTGCTGGCTGAAGAAATATAAATATGTGCACAAACGTCTGCCTCGAGTACCAAGGTGTGTCTAATTCCTATTAAATCCTTACTTCACGGGTATCCTCCCAAAGATGAACACTCATGGTAAAATTCAAATTGATTTCTGCATATTTTCTAATTAAATTGCTCTCCTTGAGGATAACATCCATGTCTGCTGGAGGAAAGTGAAAAGTGCTGTCCTTGAAAGTGACAGTTCTCAAATTGTCCAGACCCTACTGGGAATATTTTCCCTAAAAACGTTCAGTTTTCTCCTACAGCCTTAAGGCAGATTGTGAGGATTACACGAGCCATGAAACCCTCAGAGTAGCGTCACTAGATGTCCCCATTGTTCCAGGATACGCTGGAGTCTGGCAGGGCTCGATGGGGACACCCAGCCTCCAGCAGCCTGTGGACCTGGGGAAAATCCTTCTCTCTGATGATTTTGACCTTTATACACCTAAGAAAAACAGCACAGGCCTCAGATTGCAGCAGCACCATGAGATCATCCTGGACTGGATTTGTTCAGGATCCTTCTCAATGATTTAGGGTCTGCATTCCCTGTCCATTATTCCCTGTTAACTCCAAAGCCTTCCCCTGTCAACCTCCTCTGCACTTGAATTACTGTATTCATGAACCTGCCAGCGTTATTATCCCATCTGCAGTCTGTGTATTTGCCCAGCCCATCCTCTGGCCAGTCTCTGGAATACTTAAGGCTCCTCTCTGTGGGGAATTTGGTTCATCCCTTAAACTGGTATCTCATAGGACAAGAGTGCTCAGAGCAACTGAAACCTGGGAGGCAACAGCCTCTGGGTAAATTATCTTTCAAAGCAGAAGAGTCTTGTCTGGTCAGAACAAGAGGAAACAGCCTCAAACTGTGCCAGGGAAGGCTCAGGATGGACATCAGGAAAAATTCCTTAGGGAAAAGGTGGTCAGGCCTTGGAGGGGCTGCCCAGGGAGGTTTGGAGTGCCCGTCCCTGGAGGTGTCCAAGGAATTCCTGGATGTGGCACTCAGGGCTCTGGGCTGGGGACAAGGTGGTGTTTGATCAAAGGTTGGATCTGATGATCCTGGAGGTCTTTTCCAACCACAATGATCCTGGAATCCTGTGATTCTATTCTGTCAAAGGGAAAGCCCTAAGCCCAGCTGTTTCTATGGGGTGCCCAACACCAGCAGTGCCTCTTCCCCACTTCCCCACAGCTGACAGTGACTCAGAATAGGGATGGGAGGGATTTTCAAGCCTGGAGGGGAAAAAAAAGTCTAATTTTGGAAAGGCTGGGGGCTACAGAAAAAGAAGACAGAGAACAGAAAACCCAAATCCTTCCTCATGCTGTAACATAGGGGTTTTGTGGCCAGGATTGCTCTTTCTGTGCTGCTTACCAGACTTTCTGCTGTGAGCTCAGGCAAGTCACAGACCGTGCAACGCGGATAATCCAGGACAGAGATGCTGCAGAAAACAGGAAAGAAGGGGCTCATTAGCAACCAATTAACATGAGAGAAAATTTTAAGGTGATCTGTATGATCATGCCCAGGAATCTGTAACATTCTTCCTGCTCTGTGCCTGGAAATGCAACAAGTGATTTGGGTGGGGAACGATCCCATCTCCAGCAGGTGAAGCGGCCGTGCTGACGCGGCTCCCTCCAAACGGGATCCCAGCCCCAGCACTGCCTCAGCCCTCAGCTTAATGGAGCACATCGATGCCTCCTGGCTCCAAAGCTCCATCCTGAGTGCATTAACAAGGACTCGAAGGATTTGGATCCATTAAGACAGGACAGATGAGTTATTCATATGCATATTTAAAAAGGGGGGGAAAAGTAAACAAAATAGGTCTGAGGTTCACAGGGAGGCATTTGGTTGGCAGCAAGAAAATTCATGGTGAGCGAATATTCAGAATATCAGTTTTTTCCAAGGCCTCCAGGCCTACAGAATTTGTAAAAGTAGTCAATTAAATACACCCAGAACTGGAATTTACACCTCCCTGGCTCAGAGTGTCCAGCTGCACATCCCACCCGACTCACAGGTGCGTATCCTACCTGTGAAACCTCCATCTCAGAGCAGAGGAGGGAGCTGAGTGCTCCTGGCACACATTTCCTCCTCACTTAAAGCACAGAACCAAAAGTGGAAATATTTACAGCAGGAGGATCAACATATTACTTCCTATTTTTCTATGTGTGCCTCCTCACACAGACACAACCATACCGTGCAGGAGACAGACCAGCCTACACACGCAGCTGAAGAGCAACAAAAAGAGCATCAAAAAGGAAGAAAAAGGATCTTTTTATCATTCCAACATCCCTGGGGAGCTCCTCTCCAAACAGAGAAATCCTGCCCTGGTGAGCTGTGACAGATCTGTGCTGTCTCAGGTCTCTGATCCATGGTGGTCCAGCCAGTGCCATGCTCAAAACGGGGCTGGTGCCTCTCTCAGATCAGCAGCAAAAGGCAGTGCCAGCTATGGAAAACCTGAAGGAGTCAGGAAAGCTGAATTACAGCTGTAAAAAGTGGGAAATACCTGGAAGATCCTACCCCATCTGGCCTTGATGAAGCTGTGGCCCAGAGATGCTCAGTGGCACTGGATGGCTCCTCAGGAGTCCACGTGAAGATGAAAACTACTTTATTTTAAAGACTATGCCTATTTTATTTTTGGCTATTTTATTTCAGCAGCCCACTCAGATTGGAAACCCAGCATCAATTCATCCTCACCATGCCAAAGGGATTTGCTCCCTCCACATATTTCTGTAGTGGACAGGACACCCCAAAGCCGTGTGAGGTCACCTGGACACCAGGGCTCCTCAGGCACGAAGCCTTCCTGCCCCATCACCTCTCTGTCCCCCACCAGGGGCTGTACCTGTTTTTGGCAGTGATGTAAGACATGATGTTCTGGTTGAAGAATTTCAGGATCAGCGGGATGCAGTTGGCAAACACCAGGTGTTGGGACACGTACTCAAACTGGGGGAGAGAAGGGAAACGGGTCAGCGTTGGCTGGGACAGCTGGGAGCACCACCTGGGAATGGAAACCTCCTCCCAGCCAAAAGCAAAGCACTGGGCATGGTTTGCCCCAGACACCTCACAGACCCTTCTGTCCCTGAAGTTTGCTGTGTAAGGTCTGTGTCACGCACAGCAGCTGGAAAATTCCATTTTCCACAGAGAGGAAAGGCACACTTCATGGCAGTGCTTTGGGAATAGCTGCACCTCATGGCTTTTCAAAATTAAATCTGGCAAAACTGTGCGTGGGGAAGAGGGAAAGGGTTGTAGCTATTACATGAGAAAATGCAAGAAATCCTATTGCTCTCACACACCAATCCCAGTTCCCTTAGAAATTTTGACTGAAACAATATCCCTGTTTTCCTACTTGCTTTTAATTCCTCTCTCCCTTAAAGCATTAAATGGTCTTCAAGGTCCCTTCCAACCCAAACCACTCTGCAGTTCAATAACACAACAAATCTCTCCCGTCCTCTAAAGATACAAACTGCAGCAAAACCCAATCCTATCCCGTCCTGCCCTTCCCATGCCTCTCCATCCAGATCTCCAGTTTGAGAGGGAAGGAACAGTTTGTTCTCATCTCAGCCTGGTGCCAGCTGTCAGCATTGGCACACCACAGATGACACAGCACCACAGATGACACAGCACTGGGATGTGCTGGTGAGTAATTGACCCTCCCAACCCAAACCATTCTGTGGTTCAGTGATTCCTTCATTTCGGGCCTGCTGGAGTTCTCATGGTGCTCCCTGAGACCACCTTTGTCACAGAAAGAACAAAATCACCCAGATCAGACATAAAGAAAAGCAGAATCAGGGGGATTCAGGAAACCCTGCAGCTTTCTCCAGGCTCAGCAGCAGGCTGCAATGGCCCTCCTGCCTGGGGGAAGAAAGGAGAGGAGCCGCTTTGAAGTGAGAAAAATTAATCAGAAGGGATCTGGGGGGGGGAGCAGAACAAATGTAGGATTGTAAAAATGTGGGAGTTGGTTTCATTTTACCCAATCCAATACGTGGATTTATATTTATCCTCAGTTAAATATCAGTGGGTTTTGTAATGCAGAGGGATTTGTAGCGTGCTGAAAGCTTTAACAGAAAAAAATCAGAAAACATTAATTGTTTGACTTGCAGAATGAGTGGAAAACTGGGCCACAGCTCATATTAGTCCTTGGGTTTTTTTAACCAAGGAAAGCCCTGGAGTGGGTGCAGTTTGAGTGGTGCCATGCAGATGGAACAAAAATCACATTGGGAACAAAAATCAGATTGCAACTATGACCCAGATCTCCTGCCTGTGTTGAAACTGGAGCCCCAAGAACCCGATCCTGCCAAAACCAGATTAGGTGACCTCGTGAGGTCCTTCCCAGCACTATTTCTGGGCACTGGAGACGACAGAGCAAGAGAGAGTCTTGCCTAATCCCCTTCCTCTTCCCCCTTCTGCCAAGGAGGCTCATGCTTTTTCCTAAATTTAACCTGAATGGATGTTCCCAGAAGTCTAAAAGCTCCTGCCACGTGAGTAGAAAAGGTGTTGTGAAAGCACAGCGGGGTTATCCCAACCTGAGCAGCCCTGTACAAGTCCTGGAGCTATGGAAATATGATACACTCCTCAAGGAAACTCTTCCCAAAAGCCTTCCTGGAGAGGGTTTATCAGGACCTTCAAGCCCAGCTGGGCAATGGCCATCCCTTCCTCTGGGCCCACCTGGTAGATGTGGTTCAGCTTGAAGTGCTTGAGGAGCAGCAGCAGCAGCGCCGAGATGCTCTTCACGATGATCTCCTTGTGCCTGTTCACGTCCATGCCCAGCTTCATGCTCTGCAGGACCGTGATGCTGGGAGGAGGGAAACAAGGTCAGCAGGGAGCACAAGGGACTGTGGAGCTCTCCTTCTGGATGAGCTCTACAAAACCAAGCACCTTCGCTCCCCTCAGGCCTCCCGTTTCCTCCCATCCCAGCTGGTGGTGCCAACTCGCGTTCAAAAAGAAGGGAAAAGGAAATATGATACACTCCTCACGGAAACTCTTCCCAAAAGCCTTCCAGGAGAGGGTTTATCAGGACCTTTTCAAGCCCAGCTGGGCAATGGCCATCCCTTCCTCTGGGCCCACCTGGTAGATGTGGTTCAGCTTGAAGTGCTTGAGGAGCAGCAGCAGCAGCGCCGAGATGCTCTTCACGATGATCTCCTTGTGCCTGTTCACGTCCATGCCCAGCTTCATGCTCTGCAGGACCGTGATGCTGGGAGGAGGGAAACAAGGGCAGCAGGGAGCACAAGGGACTGTGGAGCTCTCCTTCTGGATGAGCTCTACAAAACCAAGCACCTTCGCTCCCCACAGGACTCCCATTTCCACCCATCCCAGCTGGTGATGCCAACATGCGTTCAAAAAGGAGGGAAAAAAGGTGGATTGCCCTCCACCAGGAATCCTGGTAGGGAAGACACCTTCTATATGCTGACAAGTCTTTATGATTTGGGTCAATTAGCAGGATTTTATCATTTGTGCCACATAGCTTGGAGTGGCTGCACTCAAATCATTGCACTCAAATCATTGCACTCAAATCATTGCAGCATCACTTCCTTGGCTTTCACAGCTCTGCCCTGGTGCCAACTGTAATTTACACCTACCCAAACAGATACCCCAAATCTGGAGCCCCCCAAAACTATTGGCTCTCCTGCTCGGTCCAAGACTTGGTGGCCAGGCTGGGATGGCTGGTGGCCACCTGGTGAGGGACTTACGGCATCTCTTCAGGCAACACGTCTGCCAGGATGTTGATGGAGTCAGTCTTGGCCTTGGAGGTGGGTGCAGCAGCCAGGAGGATCTTCAGCAAAGCGATCTGCAGGAGAGGGCAGGTGTGGGGGATGGTCCAGGAAAGGGAATTCCTTCCTTCTCTTTCACTTGCCAAAACTGGACAACTCTAAGCCAACTCTACAGGGTTTCACCAGACCACACTCAACCTCTGGCAGACAGGACAAGTGTGGGGAGCTCAGCAGCTCTGTTTGATCCTTAACCTAAGGCACCACACGTGCCTGAGCTCTGGTAGGGTGGGTAAAACAGCACAAGGAGTTTAAATGCACTTAAATCTCTGTCTCTCCCCACAGAGCCCACGAGACCCAATCAGCATCTCAGAATCCTCCAAATCCCTCCTCTTGGACTGTACTTTCCTCCCAGCTGTGCTCAGGATTCCCAGCAAAATCTCACCATGCAGGTCCTGAACACCCTCGTGTGCTGAGCTCTGCAGCTTCCAGACTGGCACCATTCCCTACTCCAGAGCTCTTCCTTCCTTTTAAGGAACAGGGGCTTACCATGTACTGGGGGAGATTGTACAACATTGCTCGATACAACATTTCACAAGGGGTTTCTTGCACTTCCTCTTCCCCCTAGGGCAGAGAAGCATTAAAAAAATAGGGAAAATGAAGCAAAAATAAGCATGGATTTACTCTGACACCTTAGAAGCCTCCCACCTTCTCTCTGGTGATAGGGGGAAGCAGCTTCCTTCTTACCAGAGACATGGGGCACTTCTCCAGCTCCTCCTCGTTCTTGATCTGGACATCCGAGATGGAAACGTACTTGTGCTGGCAAAACACACAGAGAGAGGCAGAGCAGTGTCACAGCTGAAGGAGGAAACACGGCCAGCAATGGTCACAGCAACATCCCAGTGAGGCGTGCAGGTCACAGCAACTCATCCCTGTGTGGGACATCCCTCTGCCCCCTCACACCTCCTGCCTGTGGTTACTTGCACCTGCTCCTTCTAGGAGCTGTAAGGAATTAGTGGGACAATTACCTCCAAAGGACAACCCAGACCTTGGATAGGGTCAGGTGGCCTCTGGAAGGGTCTCATTCCCCGTGGAGCACTGCAGGAGCTGAGGCTGGCTGTGCTTCCCCCTGGGAACAGCACGTTTGGGAATGTATGTCCAAACCCAGCTCTGAAAGTGTCACCTTCAAAACACACAGCGGGCACTTGTCAGGAAACAGGAATGCTACACCTTGGATAAAGGGAAAGTAAAAATCCTGGAGAGGCTTCTTGAGGACTCAGTTTTTAATTTTTTGCCTCAGTTCCTGGAAGAAGCTCCAAAAGCTTTTCCTGTGGCACCCAACTTTTTACTCCCTGCAGTAACTGTGTTTCAGGGAGGGTGGCCAGGAGGATCCACGTGGTGGATATCCCATGCCATGCACGGAGCCACCATCTCACCTGCTTCAGGGTCTTCACACTTTCATGGATCGGCCGCGGGAGCCCTATCAGGGTTTCAGTGTCCCTGGGGGAGAGGAAAGAAGGTCAGTACTGGGAAGGAGATCCATGCTCAAACATTTCCATGTCATAACAGGTAAAAGAGGGAGCCTGGAGTTTGCTGAATGCATCTCAGATGGGTCAGGAATTGGGAGAGGTTGGCCGGAGCTGCTGCGACAGGAGAGACATCAGGGTGAAGAATTGGGGTGAAATCAGATTCAGAATTTGGGTGAAATCAGATGACATCAGAAATAGGGTGGAGGCAGTCTGAGCCCAGCACTGCACCTAAAAATGAATGTACCCTGCTGGGCCCTGGGGTGAAATCAAATTGATTCAGAATTTGATTTGAAATTAGATGACATCAGAAATAGGGTGGAGCAAGTCTGAGCCCAGCACTGCACCTAAAAATGAATGTACCCTGCTGGGCCTGTCCCAGGATGACTCTGCACCCGCAGCTTGATTTAGTCACAAACTGGGTAATTTGCTGTGGATACCAAACTGGCTCAGCTGCCTTTCACATCAAACCAGTTCCTGGCTTGGGCCAGCAGTCACTTATTCTGGGCTAGGTCTGATTTTTAATAGAAAGAGGTCCCTGGGGACCAGTGTCTCCAGGAGCATGTTTTTCTAGCACTGCTTTCATTGCTGCAGCTCTGGCAAACCCAGCACTGCCTCATCCTGAGCATCTCTTGAGCTGGGAAAACCTGAGCTTTGTGCACACCTCCCACCACCCAACCCCCACTGATGGAGGCTACAGGGCAGATTTGGTGGATGAAACACTCACTGTCCCAGCGTGAATCCGATGAATTTGTTCCTGCTTGCTTCCAGGAAATGCTCGATGTCTTTCTGTCTGATGGAGCAGCGGAGAGACAAAAACAAGGAGAAGGTTGGAAAACAGCCACGTACAAGATCACAACCTCAGACAGATTTCTAGAGACCTCAAAAGCAGCGGGCAAAAGCCACCTTTGCCCTCACTGGCTGGGGAAAACCTAAACCATTTGTATTTTTTTGCAACTCCATGGGAACGTGCGAGTAGACGGAGAGTTTTCTGCAACCAGCACCTTTGTATCCACCTCCTGTGCTCCTCACACGCATCTCCAAGGAGCATCTGCTGGCTCTGAGAGAACAAATGTTGTCTCCACGGTCTGTCAGAGCACACGCTGCTCCAACAACAAGCTGACATCTTGTTCACCTTGGGCATCTTTCATGGGAACTGCTCGGCAGCTCTGCACTACAAGCAGGACACGAGCTGTGAGCCAAGGCTCTCCTGGACAGAAAGGAATCCAGCTGGGTTTCCAGCCAGCAGCCAAGGAAAGCAGCAGCCATTGGATTGCAAAGCTGAGAGTGTTAAGGGACGTGGAGCACCACAGCACCACCATGGAGATCCATGTGGGAAACCAATTCCTGCTGTGTTTCTGCTAGGAATGCTCTGGACAGACTGACTCAACCCTGCTCCTTAACACTGCTCCTATCTCAAAAATATCTATTTGCTCCTGTGTTTTGAAGATACTGGATTAAATCCAGGCTTGGGATAAACAGCAAAAAAACCGCTCACATGGATCAGAGGGAAAGGGGCAGAGGTTTTCACCCTCTTTTCCTAACATTCCCTCATTTCATGTGTGGATAGCTGCCTTAGGAAGGAAAGGCACCAAACCAACTCCTTTATCCTTAGGTGTTTTTCTCTGCCACTAAAAAAGGCTTCAGCTGCCAACAGAGGGGTCCTACTCACCCGACAAGGTGTCATTGTCCACCTCCCAAGATGATTAGCCAAGGACTTTGTGCTACCAAGACCCACTGGGACCTGGCTGGCAAAGCTGACCCTGCTCCCACAGCACCCCAGCACAGCCTCCTTCCCAGTACGTATCCAAAACTGGATCTCCACTTATTGGCCAATAAGTTGGTTTGCCCATTTATTGGTTTGGGCTGGGTTTAGCTGAGCTCTTCCCCAGAATTTACACAACAAACATGGCAAGTGGCCAATCTAGAAAGGACCTGGCAAAAAGAGAAGTGGAGTCACTTCAGTTCAACCTCCCAGGGGCCAAAAAACTTCCCAAAAACTGCAACGAACTCCAGGACAGGCAGGTCTGGGGAGGGGGGAGGTGACAGCAGGTGGCTTTACCTGACTTTGGGGGCCCAGGGGAGCCCCTTGGGGAAGGACACCCTCTCGATGGGCGGGCGCTGAGCCGGCACGGCGGCGATGATGGCGTCCCGCTCCAGCAGGTCCAGCTCCCCCTCGATCCCACTGTCCACGTCGTCGCTCTCCTCCTCATCAACCCCTCCTTCGTCGTTCTTGAAGGGATCTCTCTCGTTGTAGATATCCAAACTGTCTTGCTTCATCAGGGGCTGCAGCACAAGGGGAAGGAAATATTCAAGTCACTTCAAGGATTTTATTTCCCTCTCAGGTGCTGGCACCAGATCTCTCCATCCTGAAAGGATCACGCTTCTCGGATGTTCCTCAGGTAAGGATTTCCCTCCTAGCTGTTGCCACCAAAGCCTGCACAAGAATAATTCCTTCTGTGCCTCTAACCTTGCTGCTCTAGGAGGTGCGACCCCGTTTTTCACCTTAACTTTTGGGGTTTCCATCTGACATCTCTTCCTTAGCAAAAGGCATTTCCATCCTCAGAACACAACACAGCAACTCCAAGAGCAGAGCTAAAAAAAGAACTTGCTGTGAGCAGTTTGCTCCCTGGTGCTTATCAGCCCTTTGCCATAAGGTCAGGATGTCCTCTGGCTGCCTCTGGATCAAGCACCCCATGGGGCTGATCTGTTGCCGTTGAAATTGGTGGATGAAAAACTGAACATGCTCTGGCCACATGTACTGAGAGCCCAAAATCCCCCCAGCATGGGCACCATGGGAGAGGGATCCTGTCCCTGTGCTCAGGTGAGACCCACCTGCAGAGCTGCCCCAGCCCTGGGCACAGCAGCAGCACCTGGAGCTGCTGGAGAGAGCCCAGAGGAGACCCTGGAGCTGCTCCAGGGCTGGAGCCCCTCAGCTCCCAGGGATCCAGGCTGGGAGAGCTGGGGGTGCTCACCTGGAGAGGAGAAGGGTCCAGGGAGAGCTCAGAGCCCCTGCCAGGGCTCAAAGGGGCTCCAGGAGAGCTGCAGAGGGACTGGGGACAAGGCCTGCAGGGACAGGACATAGGGCAGGGATGGATGGGATCTTGGGAATGAGGAATTCCTGGCTGGGAGGGTGGGGAGGGGTTGGGCTGGAATTCCCAGAGCAGCTGTGGCTGCCCCTGGATCCCTGGCAGTGTCCAAGGCCAGCTTGGCTGGAGCTGTGAGAAACCTGATCTAATGAACGGTGTCATTTGGAACTGGATGGTCCTCAAGGTCCCTTCCAACCCAAACAACTCCTTAAGCCTAGAACTGGAAAACTCGGGGGGAAAGGGAACCACAACCACGAGCACTCCTGGCTCCTCCTGCCGGTGCTGCCGAAACCCGGCCCGGCCCGGGAGGACGGTCCCGCTCTCACCCTGCGGCTGCGGTGGCTCCGCTTCTGCTGCTGCGGCTGCTGCTGCTGCTGCTGCTGCTGCTGCTGCTCCACCAGCTCGATGGCGTAGGTGGGCGGGGAGGCCGCACGCATCCCCCGCACCACCTGGATGCTGTCCTCGGGCAGGGGCGGCAGCCCCAGCTCCTCCCGCCGCCGCACCTTCATGGCCTGCAGCGCCTCGAACCCGCCCAGCGTGAACTGGGGACAGAGAGGGGAGAGCACGGAGCACCCACGGGACACCCACGGGACACACACGGGACACCCCCGGGACACACACGGAGCACACACGGAACACACACGGAACACACATGGGACACACACGGGGCACACACGGAGCACACACGGGACACACACGGGGCACACACGGGGCACACACGGGGCACACACGGGGCACACACGGGGCACACACGGGGCACACACGGGGCACACACGGGGCACACACGGGGCACACACGGGGCACACACGGGGCACACACGGGGCACACACGGGGCACACACGGGGCACACACGGGGCACACACGGGGCACACACGGGGCACACACGGGACACACACGGAGCACCCCCGGGACACACACGGGACACACATGGGACACACATGGGACACACACGGAGCACCCACGGAGCACCCACAGGGCACACATGGGACACACAAGGGACACACACGGGACACACACGGAGCACACACGGAGCACCCATGGAGCACACACGGGACACACACGGAGCACCCACGGGACACACACGGAGCACACACGGGACACACACGGGACACACACGGAGCACACACGGAACACACACGGAGCACCCATGGGACACACACGGGGCACACACGGAGCACCCACGGGGCACCCACGGAGCACACATGGGACACACACAGAGCATCCCCGGGACACACATGGAGCACCCACGGGACACACACGGGACACACACGGGGCACACACGGAACACACATGGAGCACACACAGGACACACACGGGACACACACGGAGCACCCAGCCCTCCAGGGCAGCTCCCAGCTGGGGCCATCAGCAGGGAGAGCCGAGGTGAAGGCACCACGAAGCTACACACATGGAGCACACACAGGACACACACGGGACACACACGGAGCACACATGGGACACCCACGGAGCACCCAGCCCTCCAGGGCAGCTCCCAGCTGGGGCCATCAGCAGGGAGAGCCGAGGTGAAGGCACCACGAAGCTGGTTCGTTCTCCAGATTCCTCCCCCACCCCACGTCCTCGGCCCACTCATCCCAGAAGGAACTGTTTCCTTGTGTCACCTCCTGGTGCCATCCTAAATGACCCCATCATGGTTGGGTTGAATGGTGGGGAACCTCCAGGCTGCAGCAGCACTGTTCCAGAATCAGAATTTCTGCAGCAAGGAAGGGTTTGCACTCACCAGGAGCACCTTCCAGAGCAGGAGCAGGACCTTCTTCATGGGGAAGTGTGGAGCGTGGCCGCTGCAGAACTTGGTGACCATCGTGAAGAGCAGCAGAGCAAAGGGCTCCTCAGTGTGCACAGGGAAACCTGAGCAGAAGGGACCAGGACTGGGTCAGAGCTGATCCCCCATCCCTGAGCTCTCCCCGCTGGTCCAGCACGACAAAGGGACCTCCACAGGGCACAGTGAACTTGGGGCTCACTCAGCTCCATCCTGAAGGTCTCCCGGCAGGTTTTCCACTCGGGGGGATCCGTCTCCTGCTCCACACGGATGTTCTCCACCATCAGGTACATGACACTGAGCAGCACCCTGCCGGGACAGCACAGCACAGCACAGCAGGCAGGTGTGAGGCCACTCTGTCCCCAGAGGTGTCCCACACCCTCCCAGCACCGAGGGGTACCTGAGCTCCGTGCTGTCGGCCAGGGAGATGGCTGGCTTCCTCAGGGCGCTGCTGCAGGCCTGGCTGTTCCTGCAGGAGAGGGACCAGCTCAGAGCCAGCCCCCTCATCCCCAGCCAGACACTGGGAATGCCACACCGGGGCATGTGACACGGCTGTGGCACCTCCCAGGGAGGAGGAGGAGGATGGGGGGAAGAGGATGAAGAGGAGGGTGAAGAGGGTTGAAGAAGAGTGTGAGGAGGATGGGGTGAAAGAAGATGAAAAGGAGGAGGATGAGGAGAAAAGGGCGAGGAAGATGGGGAGAAGGAAGATGAAAAGGAGGAAGGTGAGAAGGATGAGGAGAAAAATGAAGAGGAGGAGCAGGAGGATGAGAAGAAAAAAGAGGAAGAGGAAAAGGGTGAGGAGAAATAAGATGAAAAGGGGGAAGGTGAGAAGATGAGGAGAAAGTGGAGGTAGAAGAGAAAGAGGATGGAAGAAGAAGGTGAGGAAAGTGGGGAGGAAGAAGATGAAGAGGAGGAGAGCAAACTGAATGGAAGAAAAGGAGAGAAAGCAGAGAATCACAGAATCATTCTGGTTGGGAAAGACCTCCAAGGTCATGGAGTTGAAGAAGTGGAGGGGCGAGAAGAAAGAATGCAGTGAAGAAGAGGACAAGGAGGGAGAGGTGGGCAGTCCTCTCACTCAATCTCCATAGGAAGGTGAGAAGATGAGGCGAAAGTGGAGGTAGAAGAGACAGAGGAGGATGGAAGAAGAAGGTGAGGAAAGTGGGGAGGAAGAAGATGAAGAGGAGGAGAGCAAACTGAATGGAAGAAAAGGAGAGAAAGCAGAGAATCACAGAATCATTCTGGTTGGGAAAGACCTCCAAGGTCATCGAGTCGAAGAAGTGGAGGGGTGAGAAGAAAGAATGCAGTGAAGAAGAGGACAAGGAGGGAGAGGTGGGCAGTCCTCTCACTCAATCTCCATGTTGAGAAGCTCCAGGAAGGCAGAGAAGGTTCCCAGCTGGTACAGGAGGAAGCTGTTGTGCCGAGACCAGTGCAGGACATCACCTTCATTATCACAGTCCCCAAAGACACCTGCAGAGGCCCCAGAGAGAAACACTGGTGAGGGAGGATCTGCCTTTGAACCCCTGGAGTCCACAGGACCACCCCAGACAGGAGCTTCACTTCACAACCTGGCACAACCCCAAGAAAGACTTCTCCCAAAGCCCCACGGCAGCAGATCCGAGGCCACATCCGGCCACAGGGGACGTGTCCTTACCCTGTGCCAGGTACAGGATGGCCCGTGCTACTCTGAGCCTCTTGTCCCTGTTGACCACCTCCAGCCCATCCAGCAGGCGCATGACGTAGGCCTTCTGCTGAGCCCTGTCCAGCTCCAGCCACCTCCTGTCCGGCACTGCAAAGGGACACGAGTCCCTGAGTGATTCCCTGGGGGTCCTGCTCTTGCCCCGAGCCAGGGCTGCTGAGCCCAGAGCTGGTACCTTGGGTGTGAAAATCCTCCTCGAAGCATCTCCTGTTGTGGCTCAGCTCAGGCTCCTCGGTGTAGCTGTACAGCTCTGGTGGAGACAGGGATCAGCAGGGACATGGAGGGCCTTCACCCTCCTCCTCATTCCCAAATTCCTTGGGAAGCATCCCTGGCACCCAGGCAGACAGGGGACAGAGACCCAAACTGGTCCCTGAGCCCTCCTGCAGCTCCAAGGGCACCTTGTGGCCACCCAATGCCACCAAGCTCAGCCCCTTCATCCCCGTGTCCCGGCTGGGCTGCTCCCAGCTCCTGCTCCAGCTGCACTTGTAATTTCACTGGGGTTTTTGAGGAGACGTTTTGAGTCTCACTTAAGCAGTTTGGGAATGAAGGGAATGCAGCAACACCCAGGCAGGACCTGCACCGATCCCCCAGCCAGCAGCTCGGACATTTTGGGTCCTGCAAATAAGGGCTGGACTTGGGAGGGACACGATGTTGCACCTGCTCTTTGTAATTCCTGCCTGTTCCCACAGAATTCCTACCTGCTCCCACAGAATCCCTACAGTCCTGAGGTGCTGAGCAGCACCACGGAGGACTGAAGTGATCCTGCAGGGAAGGAGGAAGGATCCCTTGCGGAGGAAATGTGTTTTCGCCAGGCCAGCGTGTGCAGCTGAGATACGCGGAGCTAAAAATAACCCCATTTTCTCCGGCCACGCTCGGCACCGGGGGTTAGGGAGCAGAGGCAGCTGGGGACACAGGCGACAAGGACACACCCGCCCGATAAAGGGTGCCACCTCCCGCCTGGCTCTGTCACCGGACACTCCGCCCTCCTGCCACCCCCGCGCTGTGCCCTGGGGAGCGCGGGGCAGTCCCCGTGTCCCCGCGCGTCCCTTCTGCGTCCCCAGGGAGCGAGTGGCTCTGAAATAACAAACCCCGCTTGCTGTCACTGCAGGGACGGCGCCACTGAGTGTCCATCCCCCCCATCCCGGAGGGATTTTCATTTTCCCTGCCTGCCGGGCACCTGTAAATAACAACGCGGCACCCAAAGGCTGCTTCACCTGCCAGCTCAGCGCCGTGGCCGTCGGCATCCCCGTACTCGAATTCCAGGTTGGGACAATCCACGGAGCCCTGCGGAGAGCGGGATGGGGTTAGGAGGGGGCTGGCACATCCCTGGGGATATTTTGGGATGCGGGATGGCTGCCAGCGCTCGCAGCCTTTGCGCCAAAGCTGCTCCAGCCGCCGGAGCAGCGCTCGCAGGGATGGATCTCCCGGGCTGGAGCGGCGAGTCCGTGCGGGGCCGCTTAAAGCGCAGCGGAAATGTGGGAGCCGTGTGTAAAAAACAGCATTTCTCAAATCCCAGGGAAAGCAAAGGCACGGCACAAAACGCCGCTGAACGTTTGATGCATTTCAGAGCCCCGCACTCCCTAAAAACAAACCCCGGGGCTGGTTCAAAGCAAAAGCCCGCGGGAGGATGCTGCGGATCCCTGGGCTCCGCAGCAGATCTGACAGCTCTCGGGGCCGGGCTTTGCCGTTCTGATCTCCCCCTCCTCCCCTGCGGATGAGGAACTGGAGCATGAAACTTCGCCGGAGGATTCCGGCGGGGCAGCGAGCAGGCAGCCGCAGCCAGACGACCCCAGGCCGGCACCGCGCCGCCCTGCCCCGGGTAAGGGAACCCGTGAAAGGGTAATCAACGAAATTAACATAATTGCCCGTTCCGAGTCTCAGCGTCCCTCCTCGGCAGCCGGGCTGGAACTGATGCGCACCGCGGCGATTAATATTGATGAGGCAGGAGGATGCGCGGCCCCGGGGTGAGCCCGGCTGGTTCCTCAGCCCATTTCTGCCGCCCGGCCCGGGCTCTCAAAGCCGGGGAGGAATTTCTGCAGCCCTAATCCGCTCTGCGAGACCGAGCCAGGCGAGAAAAGCAAACCCCAAATTCACGAGTTGGGGGCACGGCTTGCACACCGTTCCCAGGGACCCTTCCGGGGTTAGGGAGCCCCAAGGGTGGCTGTACGGTGGCCGGGGACACCAGATCCCAGTGGGATCCTGGTGACCCGATCCCGGTCCTGCTTCCCCGGCCTGGAAGCCGCACGGGCGCAGCTGGGGCAGGGCAGCCCAGCGGGGTTTGGGGGTTCCCCCGTGCCCCGGGGTTATCGGGGCAGGAGGGGACAGCGGCACCCGGACCTTGGTGAGGGGCAAAGGGGAGCCTGCAGAGTGTGGGGGAGCCCAGGGCCCAGGTGGGACCCCAAAACCCTGCTGCCGGCTCTGGGCGTGGGGCTGGGAGGTGCAGCACCCCAAAACTCTGCAGCTGGGTCTGGGCGTGGAGCGGGGAGCTGGCAGTGCCGCGGAGCGCCCCCGGGGACTCCCGCTCCGGGCTGGGCATCGCAGGACGCTGAAGCCACCCCCGTAAAGCGTCCGGTTTGGGGCAGGGAGCACCCCCAAGACCGGGAGCTCCCCCAGTCCTGGATAAGGCTCCTACCGCAGGAGCCCCAGCCCCGGAGCAGGGACCCCCTACGCCGCAGCCGGTCCCGGCGGAGCCCGGGGGGCGCCGGCACCGAGCTCCGCGCTCTTACCTCGGACTCCTTGCGCTGGCTCCTGAAGAGCTCCCGGCCCTTGGGCTGCGGCTGTGGCTGGATCTGGGGTTGTGTCTGGGGTTGGGGTTGGGGTTGGGGCTGTCCCGGGCGGGCCCTGCCCGGGCCCGGGGCTCCGCCGCCTCCCGCCGCCTCCATCCCGCGGCCGCCGCCAGCACGTGGGGGCCGGGCCCGGCCCCGCCCCGCCCCGCCCATTGGTCCGCCGGGATCGGGGGCGTGGTCTCAGGACACACCCCCGCATCGCCATTGGTCCGGAGCGGGATGGGGCGGGGCCGGGGTAACGGCGGAGGGAGTGGGGGGACACGGGGGTCCCTCGGGATGGGAGGGCTGGGGACACAGGGGGGTCCCTGGGGGGCTGGGGACACAGGGAATGCTGGGGAGTTATGGGGGGTCCCTGGGGTGCTGGGAGCAGGGAATGCTGGGGAGTTATGGGGGGTCCCTGGGGTGCTGGGAGCAGGGAATGCTGGGGAGTTATGGGGGGTCCCTGGGGTGCTGGGAGCAGGGAATGCTGGGGAGTTATGGGGGGTCCCTGGGGTGCTGGGAGCAGGGAATGCTGGGGAGTTATGGGGGGTCCCTGGGGTGCTGGGAGCAGGGAATGCTGGGGAGTTATGGGGGGTCCCTGGGGTGCTGGGAACAGGGGATACTGCGGAGTTATGGGGGGTCCCTGGGGTGTTGGGAGCAGGGAATGCTCGGGAAGGAGGATCTGTAGGGTGTCCTTGGAGTGCTGGGATACAGAACGCTGCCGTGGGGGTGTGGGGTGTCCCTGCAGGGGGCAGCGGGGCAGGGGCCGGCGGTGCCCGTGGGTACCGAGGGGGTGGCCATGGAGGGGCCGGGGGCACCCGTGGGGCTGCAGCCCCCCCGGCACAGGCAGGGCCGAAGGTCCCCGTCCCCAAGACACCCCCAGAAGCACCCGGCCGCTCGGGCTGTCCACAGCCCGGCGTCCCCGTTCTGGTGCCAGGCAGCTCCCGGGGCCCTGGAGCAGGGTTTCCATTCCCACACCCAGTAAAGGGGGGGGCGGTTGTTTTTGGGGTGACTCTGCAGGTTTGTGGCCGGGGAGGCGCCGGGTGCCCGACCTCGGTGTCCCTCACGTCCCGCATCCCTTCAGAGCCTCTGCGAGGCTGGAGACCCCAAGGGTTTGGGGCGGAATTTCCCTCGGCGGCCGCCGCGGCAGCGTGGGCGGCTCTGCCGATAACGGGATTGCCCCGGAGCCGATAACGGGATTGCTCCGGAGCCCATAACGGGATTGCCCCGGAGCCCATAACGGCACCGGGATCGCTCCCGCGCCGCTTCCAAGGACACAGCAGCCCAAACAGCTCCGGCTGCCCCAAGGACGCGGCCCCGGAGCCGCTCCCCCCGCTGGAACTGTCTGGAAGCAGCAGGAGCTCAGGGGACAGCCCCCCCCCCCATCCCACCACATCCCCGAGCCCTCCTTTTCCCCCCCAAAATCCCGGTCTGACCCCGCGGATGCTCGGGAGAGGCTGAGTTTTCCAATGTTTTATTTGTGTTTTGAGATTACAGAGTCTTTATTGCTGATCTAATACAATCACTCAGACATTAATATTTAAAACATCCTTCTGAAATGTTACGGTTGCGACGTTTTCGTTTCCTCGCTGCTGATGACGAGTTTTGTCTTATTATTATCTCTAAAGTTCAGAACAAAATTAATTTCCTTTATGCGATTTTGCTGGTGTTACCTAAAATCTCCTTTTTCCTAAGTCTTGAAAAATGTGTTACATTAAAAAAAAAAAAAAAAGATGAAAGAAACCAAACCCCATTACACGTTTAATTTAGAGATGATCATAGATATGATTCCAGGTTGATTAGGAAAAAAGCCAAGCAAGCCAAAAAGCTTTTACAGGAGAAGCAGAACATGGAGAAGAGCTTTAAAAATCGAGGTGGGAAAAGCCAGTTGGGATTTCAGTAGTAATATATATATATATATTTATTTATTTTTTTTCCCCTTCCTAACTACCTGGAAGATAAAACTGGGCACCAAGGGATCTGGGGCTGTGCAGAGCAGGCACAGGGTGGGACACGGCTCTGGGGATGAGAGGGGCTTTTCCAGGGGGAAGTGGCTGTGCTTGGGTTGGGATGGGATTCCTGCTCTTCCCAGAGCTGCTCTGCCCCAGTGACCCCACGGCTCACCTGGGCCAGGAGCAGCTCCCAGGGAACAGCAGGGGCTCACACAGACCAGGATCCAGCTCGGGGAGAACTCCTGGCTGTGATGTTTCAAACAGCTCAGGGGATCCTTCCCAGAAATTCTCAGCATCTGGGTAAAATGAACGAGCAGAGATCATTTCGAGTCTGTGGTTAGAGATCAGTCTACTGGAAGCTTCTCAAAGCCTGAAGGTCTCCTCAAGGCCTCCTGAAAGCCCTGACGCCTTCCCAAGGTCTCTTCAAGGTTTCCCCAAGCTCTTCTCAAGGTTTTCCTTCCTGATTTTGAGAGATTTCAAAGAGAAACTTGGAATAAGCCGGCACATGGGAACGTTAGCTCTGGAGATGAGCGACTTGTGGCCAACCTGCCTCCAAATCTCTGGAGAGCTGTGGGAAGGACTTGAGGCTGCCATTCCTGTTTTCCCTTCCTTGTGCGTGAACGAGCTGCCACAAAAGAGTTCTCCATGATGGCAAAGAAGCCCAGGAGGACACAACACGGATCTGCAGCCGATGGGAGACTCGGGAACCAACAGGGAGGACAGAGGCTTCTGTGCTCACGGGGCTGGGCAGTTTTGTTTCAGAAGGATCACGCTCTCCACGTGAGGGACAGAAGTGACCTGGGAAGTCGCCTTGCTAAGGGTCACGCTGTCCTGTGCTCAGGTGGGACATCTTGGGATAAAACAGGGAACTCTGGCAAATTTATTCTCCATCAGCTCCGACACGTCGAGGCGACCAGAGGGTTTTGGTGATGCCGAACTCTCCCCTCGCACAGAATCCGTGGGGGTCGCTCCGGAGGACGTCTCATACATTCCCAAGGGGAATTCCAGATTCATACAAACATGACCAGAAAATAAAAACTCCAAACGTTTCCAACGAGGACCGAAATTCAGCTGGAGGAGGACGCGGGTCCTCCCAGCCGGGCGGCCGGCGAGCTCCGCCGGGCGCGGCAGCAGCATCGGCGGGCGGGCGGGGCTGCCCCGGCCCCGCCGGGAACGCGACTTTGGTTGATCCGGAGAGGTTGGCACTCGGAACGACAGCAGCAGGAAAATGCCGCGGGGCTGCGGCCAGGGGAGCGGCGCCGAGCCCTGGGCGCAGCTCCGGGCTAAGGCGAGGTTCCCCGGCTGGGCACGGCCCCGGGCACTTCCAGGGCACACGGAGAGGCTTCTCCAGCCACATTCCCGAGGCGGCTCCAGCGCCCGGAGCCAAGGAGGATCTTGGCTCCGTCGAACCGCCGGAGAAGCGCTGGGGCGCGGAGGAAACCAAAAGCGATTCCCAGGCCGGGCCCCGCCGTGCGCAGGGAGAGCGGGGATAAGGGACTATTCCACGGCTCGATTCCAGCAGCTTCCTCCACGCCTTCCCCGTCCTCCCAGCCCCGGAAAAGAACGAACCCAAAGAGAAAAATGAAAGGAACGGAAAGAAAATCCAGCGTCTCCCAGTCCCGCGGCAGGACGAACACCAGTGGCAGAGGCCACACGAACGGTATCCTAATTTAATAAATAAATAACCTAAAACACACTGTCAACTATGGCAGCAAGCCCGGCTCTAGCGTGGGAAGCTTGCGCGGTTTCATCCTGTACAGCAGTTGAGAAAGACTCGGGTGTTGTCGCAGTTCCTCGCGATTCTCCGGGACGCGGCGGCGGGAACTCAGTATCTGGGAAAAGACGGAAAAACGGGGCTTCGGTGAGCGGGGAAGGGAGCAGAAGCTGCCCCGGCATCACCGCGGTGGATTTTGGGAGGGGGAGACGCCGAGGACAGAAATGGCTGAGGAAGGGACTCGGTCCTCCCTGCCTCCAAGGGGTCCACGGGAGGTTGGAGGGGTCGTGGCTCCCCCTCAGGGCAGGGAATTCCCTGAGACCCTCAAAGGATCCCGACCTCTCCAGGACAAACCTCGCTGCCAACAAGGCTGGGCCATGCCAGGCACCAAAACCAGGGACAAACCTCGCTCCCCACAAGGCTGGACCATGCCAGGCACCAAAACCAGGGACAAACCTCGCTCCCAACAAGGATGGGCCATGCCAGACGCCAAACCAGGGACAAACCTCGCTCCCAATAGGGCAGGGCCATGCCAGGCACCAAAACCAGGGATAAACCTCACTCCCAACAAGCCAGGGCCATGCCAGGCACCAAAACCAGGGACAAACCTCGCTCCCAATAGGGCAGGGCCATGCCAGGCACCAAAACCAGGGACAAACCTCACTCCCCACAAGGCTGGGCCATGCCAGGCACCAAAACCAGGGACAAACCTCGCTCCCAACAAAGCTGGGCCATGCCAGGCACCAAAACCAGGGACAGAGAACTGAACCAGAGGGAATTCCTCCACAGCCACAAGGAAGCACCAGGATTTTGCAAGGAAAAAAAGCTCAGGATCTGGGAAAACCCAGCAATCCCCAAACCGGGAGTGTTCTGGTGCTCTCTGCCAGCCAAGAAAATCCCTTTTCCTGCAGAAAAAGGATCTGGGCTTCACCCTCCCAAGCAGATCCACTTTCGTGCAAAGCCATTCCATTTTCACAGTGGAAATCCATGGCAGTGCTGACTAAAAAATGTGGAAAGGGAAGCGATCCAGGGCTCCTACTGAAAATTATTATTATTTTGGGGATCTGCCCAGCCCGTGCTTCGGAAGGAGCCGTGGAGCTGAGCCCGTGGGAGCTGGGCCCAAGGCTGCTCTGTGCCACCTCATCCTCCGTCAAACTTCAAAAATAAAGCTGCCACCGAGCCGGTGGCATCGCGCTGGCATCTGCCACGTCTGGGTGACAGCTGCTGCCACCACAAAGGGCTCCTGTCCTGCCAAGAGCTCCTGTCACGGCTCCAAGTGCGCCATCCCCTTCCTGCTGTGGCACCGGGACTGAGCCGAGAGCCCTCGGAATCGCCTCGGGACGGGCGGGTTAAACCCTGTCCCCTCTGCCCCCACAGGTGTCACCCAGGCCGGGGCAGGAGCAGAGGGCTGGAGGGCACCGGGAGGGGACAGGGCTGGGAGGGCACCGGGAAGGGACAGGGCTGGAGGGGACAGGGAGGGGACAGGGCTGGGAGGGACAGGGAGGGGACAGGGCTGGGAGGGACAGGGCTGGGAGGGACAGGGAGGGGACAGGGCTGGAGGGCACCTGTAGTAGTTGGGCTTGAAGGGTCCGTTCTTGTTGAGCCCCAGGTACTTGGCCTGCTCGTCCGTCAGCTCCGTCAGGTGCGCGTCGAACGTGGGCAGGTGCAGGCTGGCCACGTACTCGTCTGGGGCAGGGAAAGGAGGCCAGGCCTCAGGGAAGGGAGGCCACAACCAGAGCCCCGGGCTGAGGCACAACCCACCTGGCATCTCTGGTAGGCGACACCTCACCCCAAGACCAGGATGAGCCAGCCCCGCCTCAAACACCCCAATTCCCACCAAAAAGCCCATTCTGCCCAAGCGTGCCCAGGGTGGCCGTGTGCTCAGGAGGGGGCTCTGCTGGGGGAGCTGCTGGCAGGGGTGAGGCCCCACGGGACAGCCCCTGCTCTGGGAGGCACCCCCTGCTCCCCACAGGTGGGACAGCAGAGCAGCTGGACCCAGGGCTGGAGGGAAGAGCTGCTGGAAGCCCCTGAGCTGGGCCCAGGGCCACCTCCCAGCTGTGACAGTGACCCAGCCTGGCCCAGGGCCACCTCCCAGCCGTTCAGCCCATGAGCAGAAGGCATGGGGACTGTTGTTACCCATTTTTTTAGGCAGCAAGTACACGTCCTGCTTGTAGCGGCCCTCGGGAGCATTGTACAGCTCTATCAGAGCCAGGGCCTGCAGAGAGGACACGGGGGTCAGGGGCTGCTGTCCCTCAGAGCGGGGCCTGCCCCCAGAGCAGCCCAAGCCCCCTCACCTGGGTGGTGGCCGTGATGGACAGGACAAAGGTGGGCACGGTGGAGCAGCTCAGGTTCAGCAGGCGGCCCTGGGAAGCAGAACCTGGTTGTTAACAGGGCACCAAACCCAGTCTGTCACCCCACAGGAGGGACAGGAACCACTGGAGCAATGTGTCCCTGTTGTGTCACCTGCACTGAGCCCTGAGGTGTGGCTGCCCTTAGGAAGTGGAAATCTCCCTGTGGAAGACACCCTGGAGTGGGATGAATTAAAACAGGGGAGCTTTTCTTCATCCCAGGAACTCAGGGGGGCCCTTGTGGCTCTGCACAAGTCCCTGCCAGGAGGGGACAGCCGGGGGGGTCGGGCTGTGCTCCAGGGAACAGGGACAGGAGGAGAGGGAACGGCCTCAGGCTGGGCCAGGGGAGGGGCTGGGGGATTTTAGGGAAAATTTCTCCAGGGAAAGGTTGTCAGGCATTGGAATGAGCTGCCCAGGGCAGGGGTGGAGTCCCCATTCCTGGGGGGATTTAACAGCCCTGTGGATGTGGCACTTGGGTGGCTTTGGCAGGGCTGGGAATGGCTAGACTGGATGGACTCAGAGGTGTTTTCCAACCTCAATCGTTCTGCGATTCCACGATTCCCTGAGCCAAACTGCACCCTGCCCAGGGCCCTGAGCTGCAGCTGCTGCTCCCTCACCTCTGCCAGCAGCACGATCCTCTTCCCGTCGGGCCAGATGACGTGATCCACCTGGGACCTCACCCGCTCCCAGGTCAGCTCGGGCGTGCGCAGGCTGGCCTGGAAAAGGGAAACGTCACAGCAGCACCAGGGCTGGGCTGAGCCTCAGCAACGGGCAGGGAGGAGGCAGCGACCCCTGCCAGGGCCCCGGGATTGTCCCCCTGGATCCCAGCGACCCCTGCCAGGGCCCCGGGATTGTCCCCCTGGATCCCAGCGACCCCTGCCAGGGCCCCGGGATTGTCCCCCTGGATCCCAGCCCAGTGACACCTCCGTGGTTCACGGGCTGAGCTGTTTCTGTGAGCTCAGCACATCAGAGCTGCACCGTGACTGTCCAGGAGCTGGTGAGGAGGATCCACCATCACCCCAAACAGTGTCACCAAAGCACAACCACCCCAAACACCACTGCCCCAAAACTCCATCACCTCAAAACTCCATCACCCCAAAGAGTGTCACTCAAAGCACAACCACTGCCCCAAAACTCCATCACCCCAAACAGTGTCACTCAAAGCACAACCACCCCAAACACCACTGCCCCAAAACGCCATCACCTCAAAACACCTTCATCCTGTCAGCCCAAAACACCATTATCCCAAAGAACCAGACCCCTAAAAGAGTTGTCCCAAAGCACCATCATCCCAAACACCACTGCCCCAAAGAACCATCACCCTAAAACACTGTAACCCCAAAGCACCATCACCCTAAAACACCACGATCCCAGAGCAGTCAGCCCAAAATGCTGTCAGTCTGAAACACCATCACCCCAAAACAGTCACTCCAAACACCACCTCCCCAAAACACCACCAGTCCAAACACTGTTAGCCCAAAAGTCCATCACCCCAAACAGCGTCACTCAAAGCACAACCACCCCAAACGTAATTGCCCCAAAGCACCATCACCCAAAACACCATCACCCTAAAGCACTGTCAGCCCAAAACATCATTATCCCAAAGCACTCTGACCCTAAAAGAGCTGCCCCAAAGAACCATGACCCTCAAACACTGTAACCCCAAACACCATCACCCCAAAACAGTCACCCCAAACACCCAAAACATCATTACCCTAAAATATCATTACCCTGAACCCTGTCACCCCAAAACACCATCACCCCAAAACACCATCACCCCAAAGCACCACCACTCTAAAACAGTCTCCTCACAGCACCCTCACTGCAAACCCTGTCCCCCCAAAATGTCCCCCCGAGCCCGCTGGCCCCGCTCACCACGTCGATCTCGGTGTTGGAGTGCCCCATGTTGCAGACAATGCAGCTGTTCTTCATCCTGTCCAGATGTTCCCTGGTCACCACGTTCTTGTTCCCTGCCAGCAGCACAGCCCTGGGTAAATCCCCTGTCCTGCCCTGCCTTTGGGGTCCCCTCGGGCCCGGGCTGGGGTCCTTTTGGGGTGTGGCTCCCACGTCCCACCCCGCTGGCCCTGTACCTGTGCAGGTGATGACGATGTCGACCTGCCTGATGACTTCATTGAGCTTCACCAGCCGGAACCCGTCCATGCTGGGAGGGAAAACAGGCACAAAGTGACCCCACATCCCAGTTTTAACCTCCTGATGAGCCACTGGGAGTTTCTGGGGTCGTCCTGGAGGGTCTGGGACATTTGTGAGGAGAAGTGAGAAGGGATTTTGGGGTTTTCCCATGTCCTGTCAAGGCCTTCTCATCTGCAAATCTCAATTCTTGACCCTGATGGGCTTCTTAGAGCTTTTCTCCTGCAGGGAACATCCAGGAGCTGTGGATCTGCTCAGAATCCAGGTTGGGATGGATTTAGAGCATCCTAAAAAACACCTCAAAGCTGTGGGTGCCTCTCACCACCCCAAAATCCTTATTTAGGCACCTGCAGAACCCTGAGAGGTGCGGAGCCCCAGCAGGCCTGCCCTGCCCTCCCCAGCAAGGTGAGCTCAGGGATAACAAGGGCAGGGTGGGTTTTTTTGGGATTTGTTGACAATCCTCCCCAGAGCTCCTTCCTGTGCCACTCACAAGCTGCGAAATTGTAGCTACTAAAAAAAAGAAATCATTTTTTTCTGCTGCATGTCCCCATTTCCTGAGCTTTTCCCCACTGCCAGCTCCTCCTGAGAAGGGCCACGTGCTGCTGCTGCTGCCTGGAGCAGGGTCAGGGAAGGGATTGCTGGAAATTCCCAGCTGAGGATGGATGAAGGTCACAGAGCAGCCCAAAAGTTCATCAGCTCTGCTAATTAGAACTCGTTAGTCCTCTCACCATAACAACCTGGTGAGGAGCAGGCTGAGGGCCTAGGGGGGCTCTGGGTGTTTTTGGGATCCACAACCCAGCTGTGTCTGGTGAGGGGTTGGGGGTCACAGGACCCCAAACACCCCCAGGGTGAGGTGTGGGCACAGCCCTGGGAGAGCCAGGGAGCAGCTCATGCCCAAAATCCCTGCAAGCCATGTCCCAGACTCCTGACTGCTGTGGGATGGGATAAACTGGGAGATGTTTTAGGGCAGATGGGATAAACTGGGAGATGTTTTAGGGCAGGGCCCTTTGCATAGGATGGGTTTTAGGGCAGGACTGTTTAGGGCAGATGGGATAAACTGGGAGATGCTTTAGGGTAAATGGGATAAACCAGGAGGTGTTTTAGGGCAGGACTGTTTTCTGGATGGGATAAACCAGGAGATGTTTTAGGGCAGATGGGATAAACTGGGAGATGTTTTAGGGTGGGGCCTGTTTAATGGGATGGGATAAACCAGGAGATGTGTTAGGGCAGATGGGACAAACCAGGAGATGCCTTAGGGCAGGGCTGTTTCCTGTGAGGTGTGGGCACAGCCCTGGGAGAGCCAGGGAGCAGCTCATGCCCAAAATCCCTGTAAGCCATGTCCCAGACTCCTGACTGCTGTGGGATGGGATAAACTGGGAGATGTTTTAGGGCAGATGGGATAAACTGGGAGATGTTTTAGGGCAGGGCCCTTTGCATAGGATGGGATAAACCAGGAGATGCTTTAAGGCAGATGGGATAAACTGGGAGATGCTTTAGGGCAGATGGGATGAACCAGGAGATGTTTTAGGGCAGGGCTGTTTCCTGGGATGGGCTGAACCAGGAGATGCCTTAGGGCAGATGGGATAAACTGGGAGATGCTTTAGGGCAAATGGGATGAACCAGGAGATGCTTTAGGGCAGGGCTGTTTCCTGGGATGGGCTGAACCAGGAGATGCCTTAGGGCAGATGGGATAAACTGGGAGATGCTTTAGGGCAAATGGGATGAACCAGGAGATGCTTTAGGGCAGGGCTGTTTCCTGGGATGGGCTGAACCAGGAGATGCCTTAGGGCAGATGGGATAAACTGGGAGATGCTTTAGGGCAAATGGGATGAACCAGGAGATGCTTTAGGGCAGGGCTGTTTCCTGGGATGGGCTGAACCAGGAGATGCCTTAGGGCAGATGGGATAAACTGGGAGATGCTTTAGGGCAAATGGGATGAACCAGGAGATGCTTTAGGGCAGGGCTGTTTCCTGGGATGGGCTGAACCAGGAGATGCCTTAGGGCAGATGGGATAAACTGGGAGATGTTTTAGGGCAGGGCCCTTTGCATAGGATGGGATAAACCAGGAGATGCTTTAAGGCAGATGGGATAAACTGGGAGATGCTTTAGGGCAAATGGGATGAACCAGGAGATGCTTTAGGGCAGATGGGATAAACTAGGAGACATTTTAGGGCAGGGCTGTTTCCTGGATGGGATACACCAGGAGATGCTTTAGGGCAGATGGGATAAACTAGGAGACATTTTAGGGCAGGGCTGTTTCCTGGGATGGGCTGAACCAGGAGATGCCTTAGGGCAGATGGGATAAACCAGGAGATGTTTCAGGGCAGATGGGATAAACTGGGAAATGTTTTAGGGCAGATGGGACAAACCAGGAGATACCTTAGGGCAGGACTGTTTCCTGGGATGGGCTGAACCAGGAGATGCCTTAGGGCAGATGGGATAAACTGGGAGATGTTTTAGGGCAAATGGGATGAACCAGGAGGTGTTTTAGGGCAGATGGGATAAAGTGGGAGAAGTTTCAGGGCAGGGCTGTTTCCTGGGATGGGATAAACCAGGAGATGCCCTAGGGCAGATGGGACAAACCAGGAGATGTTTCAGGGCAGATGGGACAAACCAGGAGATGTTTTAGGGCAGATGGGCTGAACCAGGAGATGCCTTAGGGCAGGGCTGTTTCCTGGGATGGGATGAACCAGGAGATGCCTTAGGGCAGGGCTGTTTCCTGGGATGGGCTGAACCAGGAGATGCCCTAGGGCAGGGCTGTTTCCTGGGATGGGATAAACCAGGAGATGTTTCAGGGCAGATGGGATGAACCAGGAGATGCCTTAGGACAGATGGGATAAACCAGGAGATGCTTTAGGGCAGATGGGCTGAACCAGGAGATGCCCTAGGGAGGCCCCCAGGCCAGAGGAGGGTGCAGGGACCCCTTGGGAAGGTTTCCAGGGAAGGGAGGCGGCAGCCCTACCAGGCCTGCAGGGCGCAGATGGGGTCGATCTCGGTGACGTAGACGATGGAGCCCATGGCCTTGAGGGCGGCGCAGCAGCCCTTCCCCACCTGCAAAGGGACACGCTCAGTCAGTGCCCCCCGAGCTTCCCCAGCTCTGGAATGCACCACTGCAGGAGATCCAGGGAAAGCTCCTCCCGCAGCCTTTGCTGCGCTTCAGGGGTAATTAACCTCGGAGGGTTAACGAGCTTTAACCTTTGCCCAGCGCGGGGAATCCAGGTTACAATGTTCCCAGAAATGTGATTACAGCAGGAAAAACAGAGCCATTCCAGCTGCTTGGACATGAAAAAAAATTCCAGTAGAGCACTCGCTGCAACTGGTGTGAACTGGTCCTGAGAAAAAGTGGGGAAAGAGGAATATTCCCATCTGGAGAGGGGGTGGGTGAAGGGATAAATCAAGATTAATTCTCTCTTGACCACACTGGAATGCCCAGAATATCTGCAGAACCTCTGATTTTAGACAAATCAGACTGAATATAATATTAAAATATGTGTTGTATCAATATGTGGGCACGCCAATATCCAGATATTAAAGATATGCAGAATATTTAATGTAATTTTTTAAAACATTCAGCTTTGGCATCTCTTTAATAATAAAGAAATGAAGAAAACTTTCAGTTTTTGGCAAACTCCTGAGGTTTGGAGGGTCCTGCAGGTGCAGAGCAAAGACCCGAGGGTGGAGGAAGCTGTGCTGAGGATTTACACATGGAATTCCCAGTGGGAAAAGGGGGAAAATTGGGAAAATGGAGCCCCTTACCTCCCCATAGCCACAAACCACCACCTGCTTCCCTCCGAACATCATGTCTGTTGTCCTCTTCAGGCTGAGGAAAAAGGGAAAAAAAATCCCAATTAAAGGTCAGAATTCCAGCCCAGCAATAAGAGCTGCTCCAAGGATGGATCCACAGCTGGATCCTGCACCCCTGAAATTCCAGGGGAAGAGAAAACCCCAAAAGCACCTCAAAACTCCCTTTTCCTTTTGGAAGGGTGGGGTGTTCTTTTGTTCTTCCAACAAAGAGGATGGAATTTGGGTTTGGAGCCCTTTTTTTGTTGATTTTTATTCATTTACCCTTTTTTCTGACACTCCCAAAATATTGAAAATCCTCTCCAAAAATCCTTTGATCTGAATTTTTATTGTCAACCCCAAGTGCCCCCCCAAGGAAGAGCCCCAGGAGCAGCAGGGGAGTGGGAACTCCTTGCCAGAATCCCAGAGCTTTTCCCAAATGAAGCCCCCCCTTCCTCTGGTTTCCTCCTGCTCCCTCCCTGAGCGTGTCCTACATTCCAGGCTATTTTTAGCTCTGGAGTAAATAGGTTAGCAGTGCAGGGAAGGTGAAATTCCCTCCCTTTTCCAGGGAAATTCAGCTAAAACCCACAGCAGCTCTGAGGCACCTCTGCTCTCTGACTGTCTTCAATTCCTGCACCAGGCTGAACCTGAATTCCAATTTGCCCCCAAGGTGTTTCCATGGAATCCCTGGAGTTTTTGGGTTGGAAAGGACCTTAAATCCCATCCCATCCCAGGGACACCTCCCAGTGTCCCAGGCTGCTCCAGCCCCAGTGTCCAGCCTGGCCTTGGGCACTGCCAGGGATGCAGGGGCAGCCCCAGCTGCTTTGGGAATTCTGTTCCCATATTTCACCCCCCCATTATTCCCATTCCTGCTCCCTGTTCCTTGGAAGGGGCTGCTGCACACCCCAAATTCCCGGATTGTTCATGGATTGTGCCACAAACGATGTCACAACAAGGATAAAACCTGTCCCAGCCTCACTCAGCCCTGATGGAATTTGGGCTGGAGGGACATGGACACCCAATTCCATGAAAAGAAAGGGAAAAAAGAGCTGGAGAGAAAAAAAGGGATAGAGGGACACACATGGGACACAGGGGGATTTTATCCAAAGGGGAGAGGGACAGGACAGGAATTCTGACATGCACCAGAGGTAGGGAAGGATTTCATTCTCCTCTGACACACGAACTGAGCTGAGATGATCCGAATGGCAGCAGAGCAGAGCCCCGTGGGAATTCCTCCCTGTTCCCTGTAGGAATTCCTCCCCATTCCCTGTGGGGATTCCTTCCCCTTCCCTGTGGGCATTCCTCCCTATTCCCCATGGGAATTCCTCCCTGCTCCCCATGGGAATTCCTTCCTATTCCCTATGGGCATTCCTCTCCATTCCCAGTGGGAATCCCTCCCTATTCCCTGTGGGCATTCCTCCCTGTTCCCTGTGGCCATTCCTCCCCGTTCCCCATGGGCATTCCTTCCCATTCCCCATGGGAATTCCTCCCCGTTCCCCATGGGAATTCCTCCCCATTCCCTGTGGGGATTCCTCCCTGTTCCCCATGGGAATTCCTCCCTATTCCCCACTCCATTCCCCGTGGGAATCCCTCCCCATTCCCAGTGGGGATCCCTCCCCGTTCCCAGTGGAAATCCCTCCCCGTTCCCAGTGGGAATCCCTCCCTATTCCCCACTCCATTCCCCGTGGGAATCCCTCCCAATTCCCCGTGGGATCCCTCTCTCCATTCCCCATGGGGATCCCTCCCCATTCCCCATGGCAATCCCTCCCCATTCCCCATGGCAATCCCTCCCCATTCCCCGTGGGGATTCCTCCCCATTCCCCTTGGGGATCCGTCCCCATTCCCGTGGGATGCCCCTCACCCGTCCAGGATGGACTCCCGGCAGCAGTAGAGGTTGTCAAACTTCTGCTTGGTGACCGAGTCGTTGACGTTCATGGCTGGCACGCAGAGCTTCCCCGCCTTGGAGAGCTGGTACAGCCTGCCAAGGAGCAGGGGTTATCCAGGGAATTCATCCCTGCACTCGGGGTTTGGGATGGAAAGGGCCTTACAGATCAGCCTGGCCATGGCAGGGGCACCGGGCACTGTCCCAGTGTCCAGCCTGGCCTTGGACATTCCCATGGGAATCCCTCCCCATTCCCAGTGGGAATCCCTCCCCATTCCCTGTGGGGATCCCTCCCCATTCCCCATGGCAATCCCTCCCCATTCCCCATGGGGATTCCTCCCCATTCCCCTTGGGGATCCGTCCCCATTCCCGTGGGATGCCCCTCACCCGTCCAGGATGGACTCCCGGCAGCAGTAGAGGTTGTCAAACTTCTGCTTGGTGACCGAGTCGTTGACGTTCATGGCTGGCACGCAGAGCTTCCCCGCCTTGGAGAGCTGGTACAGCCTGCCAAGGAGCAGGGGTTATCCAGGGAATTCATCCCTGCACTCGGGGTTTGGGATGGAAAGGGCCTTACAGATCAGCCTGGCCATGGCAGGGGCACCGGGCACTGTCCCAGTGTCCAGCCTGGCCTTGGACATTCCAGGGATCCAGCTGCTCTGGCAATTCCAGCCCAGCCAGGAATTCCTCATGGCCAAGATCCCATCCATGGCTGCCCTCTGGCACTGGGAGCCACTCCCTGTGTCCTGTCCATCCCTTGTCCCCAGTCCCTCTGCAGCTCTCCTGGAGCCCCTCCAGGCTCTGGAATGTGCTGGAAGCTCTCCCTGGATCCTTCTCCTCTCCAGCATCCCCCTGCTCCCAGCTCTGGGCACAGACTCAACTCCCCCACAGCAGGAAAATCACTAAAAATGAATTTAAACACCCCACTGCGGCTCTTCTTTCAAGAGAGTCTGAAAATCCTGTTCCTGCTCCAGCCCTTGGGAAGGAGAATCTGCCTTTGGGAATCTCTTCTTCCCACACTGGGATTTCAGATCCTAAAAATATCACCAGTCCTTCTCCTGACCCCACTGGTGCAGAGCTGGAGCCACTTCCTGGTTTCACACATTTCATTCCCTGTTCCAGGAGCTGCCTGAACCTCTGGCCAAGCTCTGATCCAGCCCAGAGCTGCAGCCAAGCCTTTCTCCCTGCAAGAACTCAGCAAGCAGTGCCCTGGCACCCGTGATGGGATGAATTCCATGGAAAAGCTCCTGTGACACCTCCCAACCCCCAGAGCTGCTCCCACCCCAGCTCTGCTCCTGCCAGGGACTGAGGGATTTCACTCACTCATCTCCGAGGTTCTCCCTTTCCCCAAAAACAACTCAGTTCCTCTTCCCAAATCTCACTTCTTCCCACAGATTTAGGGCAGGGCTCTTGGCTTCCTGCTCAGCTCTCCTGTTCCATCTCCACAGGAGGTGAGAGCCTCTCCTCCCACCCTCAGGAGGGGCTCCTGCTCCTCCTGGAGCTCAGAGCAGTTCCAGGTGTCCTGCCCAGATCAAAGCAGTGTCCATGGAAAGCCAGGCCTGAGGGAAAAGCAGAGCCCAGCTGCTGGAGGCTCAGCTCTGAGCTCAGCTGCGGGGACTGAGTTTTGTCCCAAACCTGTGGACCCCGGTGACGCTCTCCTCCACAATGCCCTTGATCTTCTTGAACATGTTGGGGTATTTCTTGTAGATCCAGTGGGTGAGATCTCCCCCATCATCCAGGATCTGGAATAAAAACAGCCACAGAGTCACCTGGGGCAGGGCAGGAAGACACTGCTGGAATAAAAACACTGGAGGTGAGTGAGGAGAGGAAAACTCTGGAAAAATGCCTTGGGAAGGGCAGGCAGCCTTGGCAGATCTGGAGCTTCTCTCAGGTCACCAACTCCCTCCCTCAGCCCTGCCATCCAATGTTTTTTCCAGCAGAAAATCCCTGGAGAGGCTCTTCCATGAGGGAAACCTTGCAGATTCCATATTTTTCAGGGGAAAAAAATCCCTTTTCTGAACCATTCCTGCCCAGAAGGAGCCTTCCCCTGAAGGTCAGAATTCCCAGAGCCCTCCCATGAAGGATTGCCAGGATGGAATGGCCATGAACTGGCCCCATGTCCAAGGAACAGGGAGCAATGATGGGAAAACTGAGGGTGGCACAGAATTCCCAGAGCAGCTGGGGCTGCCCCTGGATCCCTGGAATGTCCAGGGCCAGGCTGGATGGGGCTTGGAGCAGCCTGGGACAGTGGTCCCTGTGGAATGGGATGGGATTGAAATCCCTCCCAACCCAAACCATTCCATAATTCCATGACTTTAAGATCCTTCTCACACCTTGCTCCTCACCCAGTGTCCTATTTCTTATCTCTAAAACCATTTATAATCATTTCTTATCTCTAAAAGCACAGATCTCCAAAATCCAGCAAAATCTCTGGGAACAGCTCCAAGATCCTGGTGCTCTCTCCATCATTTCCACGCTCCAGGAGCAGGTCTGAAAAGAGTCCCAGAATGCAGAGATCCCAGGAGAGCAAAATCCACATTTTCTGGGATGCTGACTTGCTCCAAAAGTGACATTTTGGATGGGAAATGATTCCTCAAAGAGCAGAACAAAGCTGCTCTCAGGTCTAGACTCAGTCTGATACCTCGGGGGTGGATTTTTCTGACATTCCTGGTTCTTTTTAAAGGTGACAGTGACTGGAAAGGACAAAAATCCCACCTCAAACGAGCCAATATTGGCAAAAACCCAACTCAGATCCACTATTTCCACCTTTGATCACCTCTCATATTGAGATCAGGAGCTCCAGGGCTCAAAATCCTTGGGGAAATGTGATGAAAACAGCAGATCTGACAGCTGAAAATTATTCTGCTCACCCAATTCCAGGTTCCTGTTTTCCCTGGAAACAAGGGCAGGATAAAAAGGGATAAAAAGGGATAAAAACCTGAGGTTTCTGTATTTTAAAGCGTGGACATCATGGAAAAATCTGGGCTTTGTTCCCAAAAATCACCTCAGCCAAAGGTGAGAATTTAAGGGTGAAAAGAGTGAAAAACTCTTCCCAAAAAATACTGATTTGGAGCCATTTTTAGCAGTTTAAACTGCAGCAAGATGCTCTGAAATCAAACGAAACAGCCCAAAAAACTGCACGAACGCAGCTTATTTTGGAAGCACTGAAACCAAACCTCACTTGGTGAGATCCAGGAGATTCCAGCTGCCTCTCCCTTCCCTCTCCAGGTGGGATTTTTCCAGGTGGGAGTTTTCCAGGTGTTTCCCAACTCACCATGTTGGGCTGCCAGCCCTCGACGTTGACGCAGCGGTCGATGCACCACCAGAAATCGTCCTCGGATTCGCCCTTCCAGGCAAACACAGGGAACCCTGGCCAGGGAGGGAGAAGGGGTTAAGGCAGGAAAATCCCACGGGAATCAGCTCTTGGACACTGATTTGTTAATCCATGTGTTAATTTATTTGAATATAATCAGTTATTACTCAGCTTCAGCCAGCAAGACCCACGGCGGGTTGGCTTCTTCTGGGTGTCCCAGAGCTTGTGGTCAAACCTGTGGCTTCAGCCAGGTGAATTCCATGACTTTACCTGGATAAAATCCTTGGGCTTACTCAGGTAAAACCCCTGGACTTATCCAGGTAAAATCCCTGGACCTGCCCAGGTAAAATCCTTGGATTTATTCAGGTGGAATCCCTGGATTTATTAAGGTGAAATCCTTGGCTTCACTCAGCTAAACACCTTGGTCTTTTCCAGGTAAAATCCTTGGATTTATTCAGGTGGAATCCCTGGATTTATTAAGGTGAAATCCTTGGCTTCACCCAGCTAAAACCCTTGGACTTACCCAGGTAAATCTGACTTTGCCAAGTTAAATCCCTGACTGTATCCAGGTAAAATCCTTGGCCTTTCCCAGGTAAAACCCTTGGTCTTACCCATGCAAAATCTCTGGTTCTACCCAGGTAAAACCCCTGGCCTTACCCAGGTAAAACCCCTGGATTTATCCAAGTAAAATCCCTGTCATTACCCAGGTAAAACCCCTGGATTTATCCAAGTAAAATCCTTAGCATTACCCAGGTAAAACCCCTGGTCTTATCCCGGTGAAACTCTTGGTCTTTTCCATGTAAAATCCTTGGTTTTGCCCAGGTAAAATCACTGTCATTACCCAGGTAAAATCCCTGGATTTATCCAGGTAAAACCCCTGGATTTACCCGAGTAAAATCCCTGGATTTATCCAGGCAAAATCCCTGGTTTTACCCAAGTAAAATCCTTGGCCTTTCCCAGGTAAAACCCCTGGATTTATCCAGGCAAAATCCCTGGTTTTACCCAAGTAAAATCCTTGGCCTTTCCCAGGTAAAACCCCTGGATTTATCCAGGCAAAATCCCTGGTTTTACCCAAGTAAAATCCTTGGCCTTTCCCAGGTAAAACCCCTGGATTTATCCAGGCAAAATCCCTGGTTTTACCCAAGTAAAATCCTTGGCCTTTCCCAGGTAAAACCCCTGGATTTATCCAGGCAAAATCCCTGGTTTTACCCAAGTAAAATCCTTGGCCTTTCCCAGGTAAAACCCCTGGATTTATCCAGGCAAAATCCCTGGTTTTACCCAAGTAAAATCCTTGGCCTTTCCCAGGTAAAACCCCTGGATTTATCCAGGCAAAATCCCTGGTTTTACCCAAGTAAAATCCTTGGCCTTTCCCAGGTAAAACCCCTGGATTTATCCAAGTAAAATCCTTGGCATTACCCAGGTAAAATCCTTGGATTTACCCACGTAAAACCCCTGGTCTTTTCCATGTAAAATCCCTGGTTTTGCCTAGGTAAAATCTCTGTCATTACCCAGGTAAAATTCCTGGATTTATCCAGGTAAAACCCTTGGATTTACCCAGGTAAAACCCCTGGTCTTATGCAGGTAAAATCCCTGGATTTATCCAGGTAAAATCCTTGGTTTTACCCAGGTAAAATCCCTGGTCTTACCCAGGTTAAACCCTTGGACTTACCCAGGTAAATCTCCTGACTTTGCTGAGTTAAATCCCTGACTGTATCCAGGTAAAATCCTTGGCCTTTCCCAGGTAAAACCTTTGGTATTTTCCATGTCAAATCCCTGGCCTTACCCAGGTAAAATCCCTGGACATATCCAGGTAAAATCCTTGGCATTACCCACATAAAATCCTTGGATTTACATAGGTAAAATCCCTGGTCTTATCCAGGTAAAATCCCTTGGTCTTTTCCAGGTAAAACCCCTGGTTTTGCCCAGGTAAAATCCCTGTCATTACCCAGGTAAAACCCCTGGATTTATCCAAGTAAAATCCTTGGCATTACCCAGGTAAAACCCCTGGATTTATCCAAGTAAAATCCTTGGCATTACCCAGGTAAAACCCCTGGATTTATCCAAGTAAAATCCTTGGCATTACCCAGGTAAAACCCCTGGATTTATCCAAGTAAAATCCTTGGCATTACCCAGGTAAAATCCTTGGATTTACCCACGTAAAACCCCTGGTCTTATGCAGGTAAAATCCCTGGATTTATCCAGGTAAAACCCTTGGATTTACCCAAGTAAAATCCCTGGTCTTATGCAGGTAAAATCCCTGGATTTATCCAGGTAAAATCCTTGGTTTTACCCAGGTAAAATCCCTGGTCTTACCCAGGTTAAACCCTTGGACTTACCCAGGTAAATCTCCTGACTTTGCTGAGTTAAATCCCTGACTGTATCCAGGTAAAATCCTTGGCCTTTCCCAGGTAAAACCTTTGGTATTTTCCATGTCAAATCCCTGGCCTTACCCAGGTAAAATCCCTGGACATATCCAGGTAAAATCCTTGGCATTACCCACATAAAATCCTTGGATTTACATAGGTAAAATCCCTGGTCTTATCCAGGTAAAATCCCTTGGTCTTTTCCAGGTAAAACCCCTGGTTTTGCCCAGGTAAAATCCCTGTCATTACCCAGGTAAAATTCCTGGATTTATCCAGGTAAAACCCTTGGATTTACTCGAGTAAAATCCCTAGACTTATCCAGGTAAAATCCCTTGGTCTTTTCCAGGTAAAACCCCTGGTTTTGCCCAGGTAAAATCCCTGGTCTTGCCCAGGTAAAACCCTTCAACTTAGCCAGGTAAAATCCCTGACCTTATCCAGGTGAAACTCTTGGTCTTTTCTATGTAAAATTCCTGGTCTTTTCCATGTAAAATCCCTGGCCTTGCCCAGGTAAAATCCCTGTCATTACCCAGGTAAAATTCCTGGTCTTACCCAGGTAAAATCCTTGGTCTTTTCCATGTAAAATCCCTGGTCTTACCCAGGTAAAATCCCTGTCATTTCCCAGGTAAAATTCCTGGATTTACCCAGGTAAAATCCTTGGTCTTTTCCATGTAAAATCCCTGGTCTTACCCAGGTAAAATCTTGGTTTTAGGGAAAACCCTTGGATTTAGCCAGGTAAAGCCCCTGGGCACACCCAGGATTTCCCAGGTAACCTCCACACCCTCAGTTTCTGCTCTGTGAATTCCCCACAAATTCTCTCTTTCACCTGAGTTTCACCCCAAATTATAGCATTTAAACCAAATTTAGCTTCGTTTCTCTGAGCAAAACAACTTCCAGCTTCAGCTCATAAGTGACATTTTTACCAAGGACTTTACCTGGGCAAGACCAAAGATATTACCTGGATAAGTCCAGGGGTTTTACCTGGGTAAGTCCAGGAAAAAAAAAAGCATTCCAAAAGTTCCAGAGCTTTGGCAAGGGGTGATTTCGTGCTGTGGGTTTGCTCTAAACTGAAGAGGATGCAGGGAAAAAAACTCCAAGGGGTGATAAATGAGCTAAAAACAACAGGGCAGCAAAAATTCCCTAGAAAATGCAGGAGGAATTCCTTACAGAATGCAGGAGGCATTCCTTATAAAATACAGGAGGAATTCCCTGTAAAATCTAGAAGAAATTCCCTATAAAACCTAGGAGGAATTCCCTATAAAATGCAGGAGGAATTCCTTATAAAATGCAGGAGGAACTCCCTATAAAATAATTCTTTATAAAATGCAGGAGGAATTCCCTATAAAATCCAAGAGACATTCCCTACAAAATGCAGGAGAAACTCCCTCTAAAATCCAGGAACTCCCTATAAAATGCATGAGGAATTACCTGTAAGATGAAGAAGGAATTCCCTATAAAATGCAGGAGCAATTTCCTATAAAACCCAGGAGGAATTCCCTATAAAACGCAGGAGGAATTCACTATAAAATCCAGGAGAAATTCCCTATAAAATGCAGGAGGAATCCCTTATAAACTCTAGGATGAATTCCCTATAAAACCCAGTAGAAATTTCCTATAAAACCCAGGAGGAATTCCCTATAAATCCAGAATAAATTTGCTACAAAACCCAGGAGGAATTCCCTATAAAGTCCAGAATGAATTCCTTATAAAACCCAGGAGGAATTCCCTATAAAACCCAGGAGGAATTCCCTACAAATCCAGTATAAATTCCCTATGAAACCCAGGAGGAATTCCCTATAAAATCCGGAATAAATTCCCTATAAATCCAGAATAAACTCCCTATAAATCCCAGGAGGAATTCCCTATAAAACCCAGGAGGAATTCCCTATAAACCCAGAATAAGCTCCCTATAAATCCCAGGAGGGTTCCCCACAACACCCAGAGGGATTCCCGGTGAGGGCAGGCGCAGGGCGCAGGTCGTACCGCTCTCGGCCAGGGCAGCGGCCACCTCGTTGAGGGTGGAGTAGATGTTGCAGGCGGCCCAGCGGCACTGCGCGCCCAGCGCGCCCAGCGTCTCCATCAGCACCTGCACCAACACAGCGGGAAAAGGCACAGGGATCAGGGAATGGACATCAGGAAAATGGGGGTTTTATCTGCAAGAACACCATGGAAATCAGGAAAATCAGGGGGTTTATTTACAGAAACACCAGGAAAATCAGGAAAATTGGGGGTTTATATGCAAAAACACCATGGAAACCAGCAAAATGGGGATTTTATCTGCAAAAACACTGGAACAATCAGCAAAATCGGGGGTTTTGTCTGCAAAAATATTGGGAAAATCAGCCCCAGAGCAGTTTAGGGGATGGGCAGAGGGAATGCTCCATTTGGGGTCAGTTTAGGGATGGGCAGAGGGAATGCCCTGTTTGGGGTCAGTTCAGGGATGGGCAGAGGGAATGCCCCGTTTGGGGTCAGTTCAGGGATGGGCAGAGGGAATGCCCCGTTTGGGGTCAGTTTAGGGGGTCAGTTCAGGGATGGGCAGAGGGAATGCCCCGTTTGGGTTTGGGGCCAGGCTCTCACCGCTGTCTGGGCTGTGATGTGAGTGCAGCCCACGATCTTGGCCCCAGCCAGGGGTTTCTCCCCCTGAGCTCTCTTCCTCAGAGCCATCAGCGCTGGCATCTCTGCAGGGAAACAAAAAGGAAAATGGGGATGGGGTTGGAAAAGCTCAGGAGGAACAGCCCCCCTGCCTGGTGTTCCCACAATCCCACACAGCTTCAAAACAGCCAAGGCCTCCAGAGCAAACACATGAAAATCCCCCAATCCCAAATACATCAAAATCCCCAAATCCCTCTGGAGTTTTCCCTATTTTGTTCAAATTTCTGTCCCCAGGTGAGGTTGCAGGAAAATCTGCTTTGGGCTGAGGATTTGGGATTTGCTGATTAGCTCCACCCCCCCAATACCCAAACCCTGCCTGGCCTTTGCTTTTTTATTTTTTGGAGGTAATCAAGATAAACCAAAATTGTGATGTTTATGGGATGGATTGATTCCGACAATCCCACACAGCTTCAAAACAGCCAAGGCCTCCAGAGCAAACACATGAAAATCCCCCAATCCCAAATACATCAAAATCCCCAAATCCCTCTGGAGTTTTCCCTATTTTGCTCAAATTTCTGCCCCCAGGTGAGGGTGCAGGAAAATCTGCTTTGGGCTGAGGATTTGGGATTTGCTGATTAGCTCCACCTCCCCAATACCCAAACCCTGCCTGGCCTTTGCTTTTTTATTTTTTGGAGGTAATCAAGACAAACCAAAATTGTGATGTTTATGGGATGGATTGAATATTTTCTACTGATTTAACAAAATAAAGATTCAACCACAGAATAGTCCTTTAATGGCTGGAACTACACAGCACAACGCTGTAAGTCCTTTCCCATTCCCCAAAATCCCACAGAAGCTTTTCCAACCCCCAAAACCCCACAGAAGCTTTCCTAACTCCCAAAATCCCACAGAAGCTTTTCCATTCCCCAAAATCCCACAGAAGCTTTCCCGACCCCCAAAATCCCACAGAAGCTTTCCCATCCCTCAAAATCCCACAGAAGCTTTCCCATCTCCCAAAATCCCAAAGAAGCTTTCCCAACCCCTAAAACCCCATAGAAGCTTTCCCATCCCCAAAATCCCAGAGAAGCTTTTCCAGAAAAGCTTTCCCATCCCCCAAAATCCCACAGAACTTTCCCATCCCCCACAATCCCACAGAACTTTCCCATCCCCCACAATCCCACAGAACTTTCCCATCCCCCACAATCCCACAGAACTTTCCCATCCCCCACAATCCCACAGAACTTTCCCATCCCCCACAATCCCACAGAACTTTCCCATCCCCCACAATCCCACAGAACTTTCCCATCCCCCACAATCCCACAGAACTTTCCCATCCCCCACAATCCCACAGAACTTTCCCATCCCCCACAATCCCACAGAACCTTTCCCATCTCCCAAAACCCCACAGAAGCTTTCCCAACCCCTAAAACCCCATAGAAGCTTTCCCATCCCCCAACATCCCAGAGAAGCTTTCCCATTCCCCAAAATCCCAGAGAACCTTTCCCATCTCCCACAATCCCACAGAACCTTTCCCATCCCCCACAATCCCACAGAACCTTTCCCAACTCCCACAATCCCACAGAACTTTCCCATCCCCCACAATCCCAGAGAACCTTCCCATCCCAAGAGGAAGGGGTCAGGAAGCCAGCAGCCCCCTGAGCCTGGCCAGGAGGACTGGGGGCAGGAGGAGCAGCCCCTCACCCTGCTCGGCGATCTCGATCTCGCGGCGCCCGAACTCGGCCTGTTTGATGTTCTTCACGCAGAAATCGCTGCTGCCCTTGGAGTTCTTCTGCTGCTTGTCCCTCGGCGAGGTCTCATCGTCCGAGCTGTCCGTGTAGGAGGCGGCTGCAGGGAGCAGGGCAGCTCAGGAGCGGGGTAGGACATTCCCGAAATCCCCAGCACCCGCCGGGAAGGGTGTGGGTGGCCCCCAGAGGGATGGATGTTCTTCCATCCCAGGCCCTTCCATCCCCAGCTGGGGTCTCTCCTTCTCCTCACAAGGGTAATTTTCCCAGCTGGATTTACCTGGGATGAATTTTTAGTTCTCATCGACCTCGACTTCAACACCACAGCAGAGGGGAAGGGATTGAGCGCTGCCCGGTTCCCACAGGGACTCATCTCCATGGCCTTCTCCCACCTCTCTTCCCAAACTTCTCCCACCCACCTCTCTTTCCCCAAAGCTCTCCCACCTCTCTTCTCCAAAATTCCCCCACCTCTCTTCCCAACTGTTCTCCCACCTCTCTTCCCAACTGTTCTCCCACCTCTCTTCCCAACTGTTCTCCCACCTCTCTTTCCCCGAAGCTCTCCCACCTCTCTTCCCAAAATTCAGGCCTCCACAGCTCCAACACATCCCACAAAATGCCTGCTGAGGTTTAGAGCACTTCCAAGCCAGCAGGAATTGTAATGTCAGACCCTATTTCATCCCAAACAGTCAGGGGGAGGCTGTGAGTTGATGATTATCCCGTTCCTGTGGGATTCCCAATCCTTGGATTCGCTCAATTTTGGTGTTCCTTCACAGTGACGATGAGGTGCTGCTTGTGGGGTGGTTGGGCGAACTTCTCCATCAGGATAATCCACAAGCCTGGTGTGGATTGTCCAGGGAGCTGCTGGCTCCCCATCCTCAGGGGATTTTGGGAATTGTTTGGAAAGCTGGGGATCACCGGATCCTGTCCTGAGCCCCACGGGATGCCTTAAGAGAGGGTGTGGATGTGCTGAATTCATTCCAGGAGCTGTCAATAATTGTCTTCCTTCCTCATCAGTGTCCTCAGGACCTTTGATTATGGAATTAGACCACGGCAGACACATGGAAGAGCCCTTCACGGAGTTAGAAATCCCCTTTCCCGTTGGATTCCTAAAATCCTGTGTACTTGAATAAAATCACATCCATTTTTGATTGGAGTCGTGATGGATCAACCACCACTTTGGATCAGCTGAAGGAATCCTTTGTGCCACATTTTCTGGAATTCAGATTTTGGATTGTGCCACATTTTTGGATTCTCTGGAATCCTTCCCTACTGTGGGAAACCAAACCTCTTCTTCCATCTTCCAGGACTGGCATCACCAGCCAGAGAAATGCAATGAGCTCCAAATCCCAGCTCCTCTTTCCTCTGCAGATGACTCTTCCAGGACCCAACTGGCCATTCTGGTATTCCTCATGGAATTGTCCTGCTCCAAGTCCTTCATCACCAGGTGACCCTTCCAGGACCCAACTGGCCATTCTGGTATTCCTCATGGAATTGTCCTGCTCCAAGTCCTTCATCACCAGGTGACCCTTCCAGGACCCAACTGGCCATTCTTTTGATCGGAGTCGTGATGGATCCCAGCTGAAGGGATCCTTTGTGCCACATTTTCTGGAATTCAGATTTTGGATTGTGCCACATTTTTGGATTCTCTGGAATCCTTCCCTACTGTGGGAAACCAAACCTCTTCTTCCATCTTCCAGGACTGGCATCACCAGCCAGAGAAATGCAATGAGCTCCAAATCCCAGCTCCTTTTTCCTCTCCAGGTGACTCTTCCAGGACCCAACTGGCCATTCTGGTATTCCTCATGGAATTGTCCTGCTCCAAGTCCTTCATCACCAGGTGACCCTTCCAGGACCCAACTGACCATTCTGGTATTCCTCATGGAATTGTCCTGCTCCAAGTCCTTCATCACCAGGTGACCCTTCCAGGACCCAACTGGCCATTCCCTCATTCCTTAAGGAATTGTTTTGCTCCAAGTCCTTCCCCTCCAGCTCATGTGGTGCTTGTAAACTGAACCTGGGGCCTGGCATCCAATGATTTTGTGTCCAGCCCAGAGGAATTCCGTGGTGGAACAGCTCCATCCATGATGGTCCCAGTGGAGCTGGCCGGTATTTTGGATCTCTGGGAATGATGGACATGGTGATGGACACTCCTCCTTCCACATCCCCACAGGCCTCTGGAAGCCATGGGAGCTGCTCCGGCCAGCAGTCAAGATTCCCAAATCTGCACCAGGGGAATGGGGCAGCAGGAAGGGTGGGAGGTTCTTGCAGTGCTGATCCCAGCAGCATTCCCAGAGAGCCGTGGCATTCCAGTGGCATCCAGGCCTTGAGTGGGGCTGGATTCCAACAGCTCCTTCATTCGCTCAGAGTAAATCCAACATTCTCCTACCCTGATCGGCTCCAGTGACATTTCCACACCAAAAACCCCAAAAAAAGGAGTTGAACTGGCCATGGGGTTCTGCCTCCTGCAGGACCCAACAAGCTCCAGCTTTCCCCCCTGGCTCATGGGAAGGGTTCCAGGATTCCAAGGAAAAAGCTCAGCCTGGGCGCCGTGGGTGTGCCAGGCTCCCCCGGAGCTGCCCAGCTCCCCATCCCAGGGAATTAGGAGGGAATTAGGCACTGCTGGAATTTCTCCCCATCCTCGGCAGGGGGCGAAGGGCGAGTCCCACCCTGCCAACAGCCCCCGAGGGCAGCGGGGCTCCCGCTCTGCTCCCAATCCCACAGCAGATCCCGAGGGACCAGGAGCCCGGATTAACCACAAAGGGCACCTTACATAAAGCCAAGCTCTATGCCAAGGGCTCCAGGAGGAAGGATTAATTAGTTGGAGGAGGATTAGTTCCTTGAAGAGAGTTAATCTGTGTAGAGGTTGCTTTAAAACCAGGGAGTTTTGGTTCTGGGGGTTAAAAGTAATTTTTTTTGAACAAAAAAAAATCCTGCCTGGAGTAGCCAGATTTTCATAGGCAGGATGTTTTATACTATTAAATAAATCTAAAATACAGAAGTATACATATAATTACGGTAATCAAATGAATGCTGATAGTTAATATAACAGCAAACCAAATCTCTAAAAGTCAATTTTGCCTTTGCTTTTCTGTAAAATAAAAAACAAGGTCTGAAAGGAAAGGATTCCTGTCATTAACTGATGGGACAGCTTCATAAAAATATTCTCCAAAGTTGATGAAGGAAAACTTCCTCCCTGGGCTTGGCATTCTGTGAGCTATGGAAAACTGAAACCTAAATTGGATTATTTGTGTTACGTGTTGGTGTCTCCGTCCAGAGAGGTTGAGGATTCCACATCCCTGGAAGTGTCCAAGGTTGGAGAAGGCTTGGAGCAGCCCGGGACAGCGGGAGGTGTCCCTGCCCATGGCATGGGTGGCACTGGGTGGACTTTGAGGTCCCTTCCCCTCAAACCATTCCAGGATTCCTTGATTTCCATTATCAATGTATTACATGCAGATTATTGGGCTCCAGGATCCATGTGGGTCCTTCCCACCTCATGATATTCCACAATTCCATGGTTTCCAGGAGAACAACACCGAAGCAGCAGGTCTCAGGTCTCCATCCATGTCCTGTCCCAGCAAAGCCCGGGTCAGAGCCTAAACTCAGCCAAGTCTGACTTTGCTGATATTTGAGGTAAGGCTCCACTCATGGCTGCCTGGATTGGCATCACAAAGGGCAAAACAGGGGCAGCTTGAGCTGTTACAGGCCCCCAAAACTGGTTTATTCCCTGTAAAACCTTCCAAAAATATGAAACAGCACGAGGATGAAGTCAGAGGCCTGGAATTCCAGATATTCCTGTCCTAATCCCACCCTCAATACATGCCTGTGGTGGGCAACACACAATGGTGAGCACTTGGGTCATAAAGGCTGGGCTGACCTAAAAAAATTCATCCATCCATCATCCATCCATCCATCCATCCATCCATCCATCATCCATCCATCATCCATCCATCCATCTGCCATCATGGGAGCTGAAGTCCTCCACCAGGAATGCCAGTCTTGCTCCTTTCATTAGCAGGAAATTGAACGTTTCCACAAGATAATTAACTGCAATTTTGATGCTAATTGCAAGGAGAGATGGAGAATTCCCCCAAAGTTGCTCCAAGTCCTTCCAGCTGTGACTTGGGAGCGAACATGGTGACATCAGCCAGGATAAGCAGACTCAGAGTCTGCAAAAATAGTCCTAAAACATTCCCAGGTGCTCCAGGATCAGATGGAGCTGTGGATTCCAAACAGAGCCTGGGCTGATGTACCTCTGGAGAGAGTGTGGCAGGAGCAGTCCTGAATTTCTCCCTTTTCCATGGGAACACAGTCAGTGCCCACAGGATGGGTCACCCAGGTGGTGCCCAACCTTTGCGGGGCTCATCCCAACCTCTGGAAGAGACTTTGGAGGTTCCTCCAATCCTGCAAAGCAGCAAGCCGGGAGCTGGGAAAGGAGACGAGGAACAGTCGGCTCTCCCACAAAGACCGGGATGAAGCCGTGGGACTGTGGTGTCCAGGAGCAGATCAGAACCTCCATCTTCTGGAGAGGAGCAGCTCTGCCAGGAGCTGAGTGACCAGATAACCACGGCTTTTCCAGCTCTGCTCTTCCAAACCTGCTGAGGAATGCCAGGAGCTCCAGCCCCGTCCTGTCCCAGCTCATCTCCGACATCCTCGGCATCGCGGGAATGAGTGGAGAAACACCAAGGAGAGTTCCCAGCTAGGAGGACTTCTGGCCACCAGCCAGGTCTGTGTGCAGCCACCAGCCATGAGCCATCAGGAGCAGCTGGAGCTGGAGTTTCCTGAGGTTTTCCACACTGGACAGAGCTGAATCAGAGCTTTGAACCTCTGAGGCTGGGCTGGATGAGGCTTGGAGCAACCTGGACTAGTGGAGGGTGTCCTTGACCACGGCAGGGGGCTGGAATGAGACTGAGCTCTGGATCCCTGAAACCACCCAGATTCTTCTCCCCAAATACATCATGAGCTGCCAAGTATCCCAAAAATCCATCCAGCAAGATTACAGCAGGAGAGACCTCTTCCAAGCACCCTTCAAAGTCCCCAAAGACCCCAACCTCATGTGCAATGAACCTACAGTGGGATCCCCGTGGATTTGTGATGCTCAAGCAGGAATAAAACATGGAAACACTGTTGTCCTGGGAGGATCAGGACAGGGAGGAGAGGAGGGAATGGAAGGCAAGGCAGCAGCAGCTGCACGCTGGGTTATAAGGAGAGAGCAGAAGAGCACCAGAATAATTTAATTTTCCATCCAGCTATACAGGACAAGGAGGAAAAAAGCAAAACCCTATTTCCATGCCTTCCCACTGATCCCAGATCCCTGGACACACCTGAGCTGTAGCTGTCTGTCGAGGACTGCGAGATGGAGCGGGACAGTGACCGGCGGCCGATCTTGGTCGGGCGCTTGTTGAACTCCTGCTTTTGGTCAGCAAACTGGATCTGTGGAAAGAAATCAGGGATTTTCTGTAAAAAACCCAACAGATCAATCCCAAGAACCCAAGGCCTTGAGCGGACACCGGCACTATCTCAGTCATGGCCTGGAGCACAATTCCTGTTATTTAATGGGCACTGGATACGGTAAACTCCACTTTATTTAATTTCAGTTCTTCCAGCCAAGATTAGAGATGTCACTATAGGCTGTTGAATTTTGGGAGCACAGATGGCTGGAGAATACAAGTTTCTAGGAGTACACAACAGAACGACACCGGATCAAGAACACCCATGGGAAGGGAAAATCCACACCAAACTCAAGTTACAGCCAGGGCTGTGCCAGGATTAACGCCCTGATCCCGGCGGGACGGGGGCTTTGCACACACACCAGGGTTTATGTTCCTTCTCTAAGAAGCTGCTGGCCTGAAATAACTTTGCTTTTTTGTCCTTTTTCTTCCCTTAATTTAGAACAAATCCCTCCACGGCTGAGCTGCTCCATCACAGGAGGAGATTATTGGCTTGAAGCGGAGCTGGAGACACACAGGGATTCCAACGAAGGAGGAATAATTTGGGTAAAATTCACATCTCCCTTTCCCACATCACCTCTTCAAGGACATCGAACACAATTTTTCACACAATGCAGTGATCTTGGTAATTCAGAGTTCCCTGGGCCCTCACACATCCAAATCCAAGTAAACGACGAAGCAAAAGAAGTCCTGAAGCGAATCAGGCAGAATTAGAAGCAGACTTAAATAAACCCTCTAAGGTTTAAACCCCTTAACACTGCCACAAGCTGGGTTTGGCTTTAGCTGGGACAGCCAGGAGGTGGAAGGAAGCACCAGGAAAGGGAAATTTGGGCAGGGGACAGGTCAAGGCTTGGATCTGCTTTTGGCATGCGTTGGCCGACGTCCTTTGACTTCAATCCTTTAGGGAATAGAGAGAGTGGGCAAAAAGGAATTTCACAGGGTCCCAGAATGATTTGGGTTGGAAGGGATCTTAAGGATCATCCAGTTCCAACCCCTGCCACAGGACACCTTCTCCTATCCCAGGCTGCTCCAATCCCTGCGAAACCCACAACAGCCGCGTTCCAGCCCAGTTGGGAAGATGGGAATGTTCCAGACGGGATGAAAAGAGAGATTTGGCTCCCACCAAAACACCTCTGAAGGCAACAGTTTCAAGGAAAAGCTGTGGAGCTTTGGAGAGCTGCAGTTCCTTGGATTTAGGAGCTCAAGCTGCTCTGAAGTGACAGAAGAGCTGGTGCTTTCAACTTCCAGCAGGAACAAATGATTCCCGATGGAAAACCTCACCTGCAGGGGCACAAGGGGTTAATGAGTGCTGAATGCAGGTGAGGTTTCACCTTTACATTCCAAATGAGCCACTGCTCATCTGACCTGGGGTTTCCATCACAAAGAGCCACCTCCAGCTACTTCTCCGAGCACAAAAAGGCCTGCTTATCCAAGGTTTTCCTGGAAAACTTCCCCGTGCCGACCCCACCAACTCCTCCGGACAGAAGAACAACCCCAGACCAACGTGTTTGCCTCGACTCTTCATGGCTCCCAAGAGAAAATTAAGGGAAGCTCTCCACAGATTGGGATTTTCTCCAACCGAGGAACTCCAGGAATAAGGGATTGGGCGGAAACAGCGAGGAAAGGAGGAAGAAGAGAGAGGTAACAGAGAAACAATGGCGCTTTTGAGTAGAAAAACCATCATTACGGTCCGGAAGAGTGCCCTCACCTGGGCTTTCATCCCCGCTGACTCCCCGTTGACGTTGTATTTCTTCTTGTTGGGCATGGTGGCCCCGCCGGCTGCCCCCGGGCGCGGCTCCCTCCGGAGCAGGGAATGCCCCATTTATATCGGCCAGCCCATCCCGATCCCGCCGATCCTGCCCGCTCCGGTTTCACCGCAGGCGGAGGCAGCCAGGGCGGGAGGCGAAGGGAACCAGTTGGATTTTCAGACTTTTTTTTTTTTTATTGTTGTTGTTTTTTGTTTTTTTGGCAGACCCCAGGACTTAATGAGGCGTCCCGACAAACAATTCCTGCCTGTGTTTTGCGTGGAATTACAGCGTTCCCTGACCTCCGGAGCTCCGCGGCGGTTTTGAACGCGGCCTGGCTGGTGCGTGCATAACAATGCCTTATTTATGTAACCAGAACATTTCCCTGCTCGCTATAATTAACTCGCTAATTAAGCTCCTTTAACTGGGGTCCTCCCCTCCCCGCTCTCCCTCTTTCCCCCCAGTGTCAGATGATTGCGTTAACGGAGCCTCGTTAGAAGGAAATTAATTAATGAGCAACGAAAACAACGGGGGCGTTTGTTGGATGGCAAAGTGGTTTTCAATTATTATTATTTTAATTATCCCGCTCCTCGCTGTGTCCCCCATGGCAGCCAGGGCAGAGTTTGTCCTTGGAAGGGTCCAGACTCCAACATCCATCCCTGTGTTGTTCCAATCCTTTGGGAATTACGGAATCATGGAATGGTTTGGGTTGGAAGGGACCTTAAATCCCATCCAGCTCCACCCCACACCTCCCACCATCCCAGGTTGCTCCAGCCTTGGACACTTCCAGGGATGGAGCACCATGGCTTCTCTGGGCAGGACGTTGAGGGATTTTTATGGGAATTATCTCAGGCAATAAATTATCAGGGATAAAACTCCTTGGATAACAACATCAGCTGCTAAATGGGAATTAAAATGATTGTCCTGCACGGTGTCTGCTCGTTCTACAGCGTTTTAGGCGGGAAGAGATGATCCCAGGAAGAAAAAATGGGAAAAACGAGGGTGGTGAGCTTTGAGGGGCTTTGGTGGGGCTTTGAGGTCTCCTCCAACCCAACCCATGCCGTGATTCCTTCTGTGATTCCAAGGAAAAGGGATCTGGGAAGCAGCAGGGCACCACTGATTGTCCCCAGCACCATTTCTGACTGAATATGGAATTAAAAAGCTCCCCCAGCCCTGACTCTTTCTGTACACCAGATTTACACCGGATTTACCCCAAATCAGATCTGATCCTGCTCCTCAGCAGTTGTCCCGAGGATGGAAAACATTGTCAGGGAAAATTCCTTCCCCAAAATGTTCCTTCCATGGCATTTCCATCTCTAGGGCAGATGTCAAGGAATTCACTAAAAGAGCAAAAATTCCTGAGCTACATGAAAGCAACTCCTGGAGGAATGAATGGGGAAAAAAAGGGAGGGAAAATCCCCCAGAATTCCTGAGCGGTACAATGACTGAAAAATGTGATAAATGGAAATATAAATTATTTCCAATGTGGAAATATCTCAGGGAATAAGAATCTGGGATCAGCATTGCTTTTCTCACTTGACACTGCAGCTCAAGTTGTGTTTTCCAGGTAAATTTTTCATTTTCCACATTATCCTTGGACCTTCTCCTGCAAAATCCTAAGGGACACTTGACTTCAGCTCAGTGTGAGTCAACTCAAAGCCTTTAAAGCGGGTAAAATACTCATTTCATGGCACCATCAAAGCACAAACTCATTTTCCTGCAGGTTCTCACGCCAAGTTACTTAAATCCAAAGGCTTTTCCTGGGAAAGAAACCCCCTTTTTTTCCTCAATGAAGGCTGAGTTCAACACATTAAAATTAAGAACCAATATTCTATAAAAATGCTAAAAATGAAAGCTTTTGCTTCATCTCCACCCCAGAGCTCAGGAACCTTCTGTAATTTCTGTGTCAGTCTGGGTCAATCAAATAAAACCAGAGAGAACGGCGCTCAATCCCAGTAAATTGTTTTGCTCTGAGTGTCTTTAATTGATTCTTGGCCATGGATTTCTTTCTTCTTTTTTTTTTTTTTTTTTTTTTTTTGGGGTGGGGGGGAACAAAGGGAGAAAACAAGAGTTTTCCGAGGGATTAAGCAGCACAAGCTTTCCAGCACTGCTGGAGCTTCCAAATCCACCTGCAAAGAAGCTGGGAATTTAAATTTCTGCATGCAATGATTTAAATGACATCACTTAATGGATGCAACAGCAGGACAAGGTGGTGGCCTTGAATAACTGCCACTGCTTGGTGACAAACTTCCTGGGAAGTCTTTTCCCAATGGAAAAACATCTCATCCATCAATGATGCAGAGAGATAAAACCAATTTACATTTTTTTTAAATAAAGGAGGGTGAAGATGGGTGAGAAATGATTTTGTGCTGTGACATGGGGGGACCAAAGTGATTGTCCTGATGTCCCACTCCAAACCTCATTCCCTATTCCTGAAGGAAAAGTCATTTTCTTGCTGGAGCTGCCAGGGTGGATCCTTCACCTCCTGCTCCTGGTGACACCTGAGAGGTGTTGGGGACACCAGTGTCGGCAGGAGCCAGGCTCCCAACCCTCTCCATGTTGGGAATGAGCCCCAACCCCCAGCCTCACCTCTCCTCACCCACCTCCCGAGCCCGGATCACATCGTTCCAGGAGAGGGATTGTCCCAACCCGCTCATTCTGGAGTTCCACATCCCCTAAATCCATGTGGGATCCCCCCTGAGCCAAACATTTCACCAGAGCTCAGAGTGTTCAGATTCATCACACGGAGCTCAGCTCCAGGATTAACAACCAGGTTTAACCCTCGTGTGGAAAACACCCAGGGAATGTGCAGGTTAAAGCTGGTTTTAGCCCGAGGATTTGAGAAAGAAAGGGTGGGAATGAGGAGTCGCCCACCTGGGCCAAAACGCTTTTCCAAGGGGGTTGGGAATTCTAACTATTGATTCCTGAAGGGATCACCCTGATCCCTCAGGTTTGAGCTTTTATATTTTCACATTCTGTGCTGCTTTAGTGTGTGGGTCTGGGCTTGATATTATGGGATGGTGAGCTCTGTGCACAGAGCAGGGAGACAAAACAATTCCTGCTCCAGCTGGGCACCAAGGACAAATGATCCAAATCTCAGCCCAGGAGCACAAACCCCGTGGGCTGCAGAGAGAAAAACAAGCAGGATGGGAGTGCAGGGGCTGAGCTGGAATTGGACACTGAACTGCAATGTGCACATGGAGCAGAGCTGATCCCAGGGAGAGACCCCGGGAGCGCT